GAAGAATTATCCGAGAACCGTTGCGGATGAGTCTCTGCGAGTTTCTGCACGCGCAAGGAACGCATGCGAAAATCTTGAGAGTGTGCATCACGTACTACGCTGGCGGCCTTGAGCGTAAGCGATCTGTTTACGAAAGGGCCGTCGACCCCGTGTTGTTCCCTGCGACCATAATGGCGTTTGTCGAAAAGGGAGGAGTGATGCCTCACACAATGTTATTCGCAGGGATCCCCAACCATTTACACGATGTTTAATGACTTTCGTCGTTACGAGATTTACGGCTTCTACGATAAAAACATTTCTGCCCAGAATACTCGCAAATACGATAATCACGTAATAAACTCTCCTTTCCTCCGTAATTCTCTGCGTAATAAATAATTAGGACCAATCATAGGGGTTCTCGTAAAAACGAATTGTTATTTTCGCGTTCTGTTAATTTTTTCGCGATAAAGAGTAAGATGTTAAAATATCATGAAAGCACATATTTATTTATTATTAATATTTTATAAGATTAGACGGTTACTAATCTTCATTATGCTCACATAAGCATCGTGACAAGACTAGATTTAATGCGTATATTCATGATCAAAATTCCACTTATCGGCTCAGCACGAGAAAATCCCGAATAGTCCCGTCAGAATGGAAAACGTATTGCAGAGAACACAATTTCGTGTAATCGTTTAGCAAATTTATCGAATTTTCTATCAAGTTTTATTAACGCAGAATGCTGGACGCATCTTATGGCGCGCACATCGGATTATTATAGTTTTTTCCAAGAGTTGCGCGAGGTTAGGAGATTGCATTCCTCGAAGTAATTTCGGTTCAAGGTCCTGCTATTCCTCCTCTCTCAATTCGCTCCGCTAGTCGTCGGATCATATCTGCGATACCTCTTACTCCGATATGAAATTGAAGCCATGAATTGCAAAAGGACGCACAAGTCTGATTTTTAATGCGGCACGAATGATTGGCATCATTTCGTTGGTCTCACTTATTGTCAGAGAATCCCACTTTAGCAATCCAAAACAAAAATAATAAAAGTGGTTACGATTCCAAAGCAAGATTTATTTCATTTCTGTCACAACAACGTTGCAAGTGGAATTCCATTGGGGATTGAAACACGTTTTTAATTACATAATTATAAGGGAACGTAGACTGTGAAAGGTTTTATACAGGATGGCGCGTTACGTGGGGGAACTACTCGTTCTTCTCTATTTTCTACCGGGATACAATTTTCTTGTCACAGGAGTGGACGGTTGGATTTAAAAAAAACCGGCTTAGTCGGGGCTCTTGGGGCAACACTTTTCTTGACTGTAAGAATTTTCATGGATCATCCCGCATAGGTCGTAAACCGAATTAACCTCTGCCAGAAAAAATGTTGACCACGGGCATTCAGCGTTGCACAATGTTGCTAGTGTCTGAAAGTCTGACACTTTAATACCGCCATATAATTTTATACGTTGAATGGAATATCAAGCATATTTCGCGTTGCTTGTACCTGCATGCCAAGGCAATTTTTAATTATGCAAAATCATGCACATAATCAATAAATCAATTCGAAATACAGCGTTTGCTCCCAAAGAGTTTTTAATAGCACAATTAATGAATCAGTTCGAGATACAACGTTTGATTCCAAAGAGCTTTGAATAGCTGAATATTTCTTTCGCGTATTTACATAAGTCTATTTAAACTTTTGAAATAAGGATAGATAATAAAGGAATTAGATCACAAAATATGCGCGAGCTTCTTGCAATGTAAGAAAATAATACTTTAAGTCGATAAGTCATTCCAAGCGTATTTACTGTGGGAAGCTATGATGGGATATGGACAAAACTTTCTATGCTGCTGCCCGATAGAGATAGCCACTTTGTGGCACAGTCTGTATTACGAAGGGAACGGTTTTTGTCCGGTGCAACCCTACGAACGGTCGTTGACCGGGAAATGACCTGCATCATCCCAAGCTCGGCACTCAGTACCTGCTCATGTGCCACGATGTTGCTACGGATCAAGTGACGCGAGGAAATTCGAGATGGCGGTCAAAACGAGAAACAATGCATACTTTGTTTCGAAAAAACGATACATCGCTGCTTTAAAAATTATTTTTTTATGAGATTTCAAATGCAACTGACGAACAAATTAATTAATTAATCTTACTACTTACTAACCGTTTAATAATAATATTTAAAATCATCTTTGCATAATTATTTTGTACAATTATTTTTACTTTATTCCCAGCTCTGTTTTGCGTAACTTATTTTATTAAATAGTTTTCGATCAATAATATTACTGATAATAACAGACAGAGAGAGAGAGAAGAGAGAAGAGAGAGAGAGAGAGAGAGAGAGAGAGAGAGAGAGAGAGAGAGAGTATCACTGATTTCTAAATGTCGAATAGCAACATTATTTCGTTAATTGATCAATTGTGTTTCGTTTTGTTTTATTTTCAGAAACGAATTATTGTCCACTGGGCATGAATTTCAGAAGACGAGGATAAAAAAAAGTGGCGAGGTATATCGCAATGTGCCTTAGGCAAGAACTCGTGATAGTTGAGGAATGATGTTGCTCTTGAAATTGCTGCCGTCGAGATGTGAAAACGTGGTTTTAAACAGCGCAGGTATAACTCGTTTGAGAGAAGCGAACCACCTACAAGACGCCGGAATTCGGACAGGAAACCGCAGGAAGGACTTTAAAGACAACTATGTGCGGATATAACTCTCATGAAAAAGATATGCTGTATTTTTCCATTCGCATTTTTATCAAAGATCGAGATTTCTTTATAAGTCTAACAGAAATATCGATTTTATTATAAATTCGATCATATCTTTCCATTCTTATAATCCACATTTTGAAAAGCATAAATCGAATTTGCAATAAGCACTTAAAAATTTTCAAACATTGTAAAAGTTTTATAAAATTTATATTGATGCAAGGAGATTTAATTTGAACGCGGTTAATTCTTAATAATTTAATTTATATAGTTTTGCTACGGAATTATTACGATGCATATAACATATATACGTATAAAATATTTTATATTTTAGCGATGTACATATATTGTAATAAAGAATTTGTTCGAGAAGAATCAAAATTTTCTAATTTAGCGGAGCACTTATAATCACCGTTTCCGTTCTGATTGTAAATTATGAGCTCCGAGTCGGCATACGCGCTTACATGTAATCAAGGATTAACCGCATCGAAACTATAGTAGATTCATTATGGAAGATCGCCGTACGTGCAGTTGAGACACCTGGCCCTCGTAACGAATCGTTTGTTTATTGTCCGTATGATTTATGCGCCACAGAGATTAAGCGAAGCATCCATTACACCATTCGCGTTTTAATAGAATTGAAAAGTCCTGCACTTTGATGTATGTGCACGTGTGCGAAAGTCCTCGCGCGACGAATATTTTTAGCGTCAGAGCACTAATTATTTAAAATTATTATTGCTACTCTTACGTGATAAAAATCTGTAGAAACTATCTCGAGGGCAGAAGCTTCTCGGGGCGATGACGATTATAATTATTGAAAGAAACTTTTTTCGATAATACTGCCGGATCGAGTAATTCTTCGGCAATTTGCACCTGTGATACGTGCGTCGGAGCTTGCCACGGTGCGCATTAAAGACTGATGTGTGCATGGCACGTACATCAGCCTTGAGGCGGCAAGCTCCTTCGGTCCAGCCCGCTCATGCCTGGCAATCACGATAATCGCGAAGTTTATTGAGAAGCCCTATCCGATTAACGAGCAGTCGCATCAAAGTGGCAAACACTCAAGATTGCGTGATCGAAGCTGTTATATTTTCCGAAAATGCAACGCGATCGTTCCTCCAGATTTTGCATGAAGCGCCGCCGTTGCGCCCCTTATGCGCAAATTTGTCGAACGCGCACAAAAAACGACACTTTCCCGGAAGATCGCGGCCTCCCTCCCTCCCTCCGCCCTCTCATGTTTCATGAATATTACATCGGTAAATTTCATACTACGCTCCATTAATCTGCCACGGCACCGCACGTCAGCATCATTATTGATGAGTCCCGTAAAATTATCTTGACTTAATTATCTTGATCATACGTAAAAGGCTCGGTCAAGAGCGCATATTTGCTACACATTGTATTAAGGCATTCATCAGAAAATAACCACTGGTCACGCTGCGTGTGTTTAAAAATATATCCATAAAATTATATATTCTCGGATATATTTTATGTAATTCTCGCGTTGCGGTGTGCACGATGGTGCATTGAGAAGTGGTGTAAAAAAAAACACGCTGCACCAGTGACCAGATTATTCTCGTAATGATAATTCGCGACTGGATTATGCCTCGGGTGATTACGGTAATAAGTGTAATAACACGGAGATAAATTACGCCGATATTCCCTCTAGACCTATTATAACGAACAAGTGGCATCTACGATGCATTGGCCATCGCAGCACGCTTTAATCACGTGCGAACGATAATCCCGTGGGGTTCGATTTTTTTCCGCCTTCGGCATCAAGTCGAGCTTACCAGTGATCTATGATGTAAATACGTAACCGCGCAATATCCCTCGTTATCAATTGCATTCGATAATTTCTTTCTAAGATGACCACGAAGAATAAAAACAATTCCTTCGCTAATCAAAAATTTACTTCATCCTGAAGATCCACAATTCTATCGTAGATTCTCTAAATTTGAGGTTTATTTTTCTTTGATAAAAATATAGAAATTGCAGAATCGTCAATGATATTGAAGTTAAAAAATTAAAAAGAGCCTTTTACAAAATTTTGAAGAGTGTAAAGAGATAAAAAAATACTATACTCGGTATTATTGACAGCCTAATGGATGGAGGAAAGAGCAGGAAGATTCCACGGCAACATTATACGGTAACTGTTTGCGCGCCAATCTCGGAAGGCCCTCGATCTAAATGCGTGCGAACAAGGTATTTTTGCGCGGCCGATGCAGGCGATGCATCTGGGCGACCGTGAGGACGAGTACAGCCGATCATCCCGGGTGCTTCGATCCCGATCTCGCCGTAGGCGAAAGAGAAGCCCGACCCGCATCGTCATTTTTAGTCACGATCCGCCAGATTCTTGGCGATGCATGCGGTCGTTTCTCCTCTGGCGAAGATTATTTTCGTAACAAGCGTATTTATCAGCACCATCAAAGCGCGGATGTTTCTCTTTTCTTTCGTACAATTGTCCGATAAATTCAGTGAATTGTATCGCAATCTATCAGTTCGTTAAGACGTTTTATTCAGATTTCGAATGTCTTGAAATTTTTTTATTTATCAAACTTTATTTATTTATTCATTTGATATTGTGTAAAAAACTTGTGCAAAAAACTGCATTTCATATTGTGTAATTTGCAAGTGATACATACATCACATGTCTTTATAAAATATATCTAATATTAATTTCATTGTTGCCGCCCGAAATACATCGGGTTTAAACACTAAAGCGAAAATACTACGTGACGGCGTGTCCAAAAATATTATTCTTCCAGAATTTATTACGTATAACTATGCCATTTCCTAGCCCTCATAATCTAGATTTGATTTTTAAGATCCTGGCACTTGTTTAAATTTAAGAGATTGCTCCGCGAGCCTCCAATGCGAGCCTCTTGAAAGCCAAATCAATCGGCTCCACGGAATAAAAAGTAAAGAAGATTGATAAGAATTACGTACGCTCTGGTATTAAAATTAAGAAATTTACAAAAAAAAAATTGATCAGTTGGGCTTCCAAGAGGCTCCTACATTACGTGTTTCTTACTCCGGCAGCTCTCCACTGACTTACGCGCACGAGAGTACTTGTATTGTCCCGACACCTTTCACCAGTTTACATGTATACAAACACTTTGCATCGTATTGTCTGCCAATAGGGACACGAGCCGAGAGAGCGAGCGAGCAAAACATCGATTTCGGCGAACTTGGACGAATTCCGTAAACATGTGCGCCCGACCGGCCGGTCACGGTGTCGATTCTTAGAAACGTGTTATTGTTTCGAAATATACATGTATATCTATTCGCTATTCACTGGATTAATACTATTTAGTTCAAAACTGCTTCTTACGGCTACATTTTTTTCGTTATTAAAGGATCATGAACATCCGCGATTTCAATTTGGTTAACGAGCAGTAACAGTAAAATTTATATTATATACAAAAATATATAATACACATATCATTTGCAAATTACAATATGTGATACTTTTTTAATCAACTTTTTACATAACACCAAACGAATGGGTATTCAATAAATAATAAACTTTGAGATATTTTAAAACTAGTAAATTATGACACAATCACAGAATATTTATCGGACAATCGTATAAAGAACGTTCGTAATCTGTGTGCTATCCAATGTACGTATTTTGTGGAAATTATAAATTACTAATGTAGATTTTGTCTTGTGTCTAACACAATCTTAAAATGATTTTAAAAAATTACAAACTTCGGATATCTAAAAAATTGCTATCGAGTGTAAATTCAAAACTTTTGTCAATTTCTTTTATTTTTTTAAATCTTGGACATAATTAAAGAAATTTTATTTATATCAGAGTAGAAAATTTCAAGACAAAATTAAAAATATTGTTTTCTTTCAGAAAAATTTTTTCTCATAGAAAAGAATATTTTTGACTCTTACATCAGTGGCAAATTCCAATGGAGCAAAAAAAAGAATTAAGAAGTAATTGAAAAATAATTGTGCTTACTCACTTTTTGGATGAGCAACCTTTCCCTCTTTTGATTAATCCGATTACAGCGTCCGATTCCATGATGCTCCTCGATGCCCTTCTTGAAATATCCTTCTTGAATATATCCACTTGAATGTCTTTTAAAACTCGATGTCTTTTAACACACTCACGATACTTGCATTTCACGATCGCGTCTCTGTTAATAAATACATTATTTCGATAGGACATTTTCGGATTAATTTCGGGAAAGTTAGCAACAAGCCAGTCGCGAGCCGATTAAAACAATCGCCCGTAAATTATTCGGCACTCCCGGGGCACTCGCGAACGAATGATTTCATGAATATATCCGACGAGACGCAGTCTACATCGCGGAAAAAAACGTGACTGAATGAACCGACTGGTCTGTAAACGCGGATTCACTCCCGACTTATCGGCACGAAAATTCGAAAAGTAAAGCACCAGCATGGACGTGGACCGTTATGCAAATGTCGCGAGTAGACGCCGGGATCACCTAGCTGTCTCGATTGATCCATGGCGCCGGTGCGAGACCATCCTCTCGACGCTTCCACGTTGTTTTTTCGATGTCAGATGACACTCGCGACGACATCGTCCGTTAAAATATCCAGGTAAAAAACACCGCTGCGATGTGCGAGATGGACGCTGTCTACCGATGACGGAACGACGACATGAGATGAGACGACGCCGACGGCCAACGGACTCCGGATTACCAGTCGCGATACGTGGTCGCGCCGGGCGAGCAATGTTTGGAGATGACGCCTCGTCGCTGGATTTGGACACTTCCGAATTTCGTACTTCCGAGATTCGTCCCAGAACGGGACGTACGCGGACGTGGACGCGAACCGTTATGCAAATGTCACGCGAGTAGGCGCCGGGATGTCACTTAGCTGTCTCGATTGTTCCATGGCGTCGCTGTGAGGCCATTCTCTCGATGCAGTTCCTCGATGCTCCCACGCGGTGGCATTTCGTGTTAGATGACACTCGTCCGTTAAAATATCCAGGTAAAACGATGCGATATGCGAGAGATGAATGCTGTCCGCCGATGGACTCCGGATTACCAGTCGCGATACGTGGTCGCACCGGGCGAGCAACGTTCGATTCGATTGTTCCATGGCGTCCGCGTTGGTACGAGGACAGTCCTCTTGACGTTCCTCGATGCTCCCACGATGCTCTTTCATGGCACTTGCATATCGTCCGTTAAAATATCCAGATAAAACGCTGCGTTTTGCGAGAGATGGACGCTGTCCGCCAATGGAACGGGCTCCGGAGTCCGAATTACCAGTCGCGAAACGCGATCGCGCCGGGCAACGTACGGAGATGACGACTCGTCGCTGGATTCGGACACTCCCGACATTCGTACGCGAGATTCGCCCCGGGACAAAACGTACGCGGAACGATCGCGCAATTCGACCGGCACACCGACGTTGTGCGACCCGAACTAGACAGTGAATTGGAAATTCGCGTTATCTCTTCGAAATTCGTGACGGACGCATCTAACTTCGCGACATACCTAGAACTCCCGAATATCGTGCGAAATATCAGAATCCAAATCGGAATACGTACTAATTCCGATTCGCGTGGTATGACTACCAACAGATCGAAACAATCGCTCGTCATTAGTCCCGCCATCTCCAATGCTTGTCTGTGCCCGGTCCGCGAGATTCGTCCGGGATAGGCGAAAAGACGAAGGACGCGAAACACACAACGGCCGGCCGCCGACAATTGCGATCTGAACTGAGCGACAGTTACTTCACGGAATTCAGTTAAGCGTTCACGGCTGATTTTGCGCGCGACTTCCAAACAATGCGATTCTTCTATTGAAATATTAAATAAAGATATTAATCTTGGAACACACTATTCTTTCCCTTCCTTTCTTTCTACTTTTTAGTTATACATTTTTGAGGCATATATTCCAGAAAGTATTAAAAAAATCACGCGAAACGATAATTTATCACGCATCGAATTAATCTTATTGTTAAATGAAAATGAGATGTTACAAAATACCTAGGAAAACTATGCGTGTTCCTCAATCAATTAAAAAATGTTTCAGAAATAAATCTCCTTTCTCCTCGAAGGCGATATACGCGACAAGAGAAATTTCATGCAATTATTCTTTATTTAATCGAGAGGATCGTATTGTTATTGCTCCTGTCGGAAATTCAATATACTAATGTCCACTTCTACCAATTAATTTTAATTTTCATTTAATTTAATCTTTATAAGATAATTCTTTCTAATTCTTAGAATTAAGAAAATATAGAAAGTTAAAAAATAGTAAGTTAAACAAAAATTGACATAAATTCGCTTGCGACAATAAACTCGATAACATCTGAATATATTTCGATAACTTCGCGCGTTCGTTTTCTAAGGAGATTCTCTCGCGATCTATTTTCATATTCACGTCGCTTCCGAGCGGAGTGTTGTTGACGTTCGATGCGACGAGCGATGCGAGAGATTAGAAAAACGGCATGATTTGAATGAAAAGAAGCAAGAAAACGTTTAACAAAACATAGACAACAAAGAAAGAGGGACAGGGGAGCGAAGAGAAGAGAAAACTGACGTACGACGTTTGATCTTTAATCTCTTTTCTAATGTCTTTTTTTTAACGATTCTCCACGTATTGACGCTTAATGAGAATTCTAAAGAAAACAAGCGATTCTCGAAAGCTCGTCGCTTATATCAGATAATCGCGCTCTTCGTACGAGACATCTATCTCGAGCATTTATGTGTTTCATCGCGCGGAAGATTGTCACTTCTTTTTTATTAATTTTTTGTGTTGGTGCCAACAGCATTAATAAGCTGCAACTGGTTGTGGATTATTAGCAGGATTATCGACATTGCTGAAGTTCTTCCAACCGTTCCGAAGATAATTTATGCGCATCTTCCTGAAATGCTATCTAAAATTTCAGCAAATTATAAATACCTATATTATTATAAATGTCTGTAAATGATATGATATAGAAATAATATTTACTCGCAAAAAAAATTTCCATTAGGAGAATAATATAAATTCTGTAGAAATTACACTCTGCTTTCTCTCTCTCTCTCTCTCTCTCTCTCTCTCTCTCTCTCTCTCTCTCTCTATCGTTATATAAGTTTCAGGATGGTTTACTTAAAAATTACAAAATCCATATTAACTTTTTTTTTCTAGACATTTCAAACAAAATTCGTTTAGATGAAAGGTATGTTTTCAAAAAACTTATTCGTCACTTAAAACTTTTATTAGCATGACAATAAATTATCGCAGTCTTGAAATCTTTATTTCGCGCAAAGGGTGTATGCAACGTTCGTCTTTGAAAAGTAAAGAATATTCGCGGGAGAGAGAGATAATAGTGGCGGCGAATGAGGGCGGAATATTCTTTTCGGACAGCTTAACGTCCTGTACCACTTCGCATATTTAAAATGCAAATCCGTACGCCAATAAATCTCTGGTATACGATTCGAGCAAGAGTGTGCGACGAGAGAGAAAAAGAGAAGGAGAGTTCTCGTTCTCTTTCTCCCCTCTTTCGATGTGCCTTCAAATTCTATGTTATTTTTTCGGAGATCCTTCGTCCAGAAACGTCGCTATTTCCTACGTCAGACGTTGTCAAGCGATATAATCGATTTAACGGGTCGATTTGATTGACAGCGGAAGGCACAAACGATTTTGTGATTTTACTGCGTAGCTCGCGCGTTATGTAAAGCTCCCGATTTAAATATGAATCTCTCGAACTTCTTTGATTAATTTATGATTTCCTTACGATACTTGTTTTCTCTAACAAAGAAGTATCTTGTCGCCACATATCTCGCAATTTACTCCAAGCCTATGTAATCTATCTATTTCAACGAACCGAATTTATTGGCAAATAAACTCGAATGCTTCGCAAATTTTCTCCGCTAAAATAAAGAGAGGCCTTGCGTACTCTAGATATGTCCACGCGAACTTGTGACCTTTCCTCGTAAGAGACGTGTGTGTAGTCAATCGTTTCAACATACTGCTCGCTGACTGTGCCGGCTCTATAGCACAGGATTATTATTGTGCCTTATACGACGCTCGACACGCACGTATATACGTAAACATGCGTGCCTCGCGCGCGTGCGACAAAGAGAAAGAGGGAGAGAGAGAGAGAGAGAGAGAGAGAGAGAGAGAATGAAAGAGTGAAAAAAGGAGAAAGAGATAGTCCGTGCGTACGCACGCACAGACCTCTGCACGGTCTTGCACCGCGTCCTTTACGACGTGTAAATCACAAATCCGAAACGCCGGAGAGATCCCTCGTCTCGTATATGACCGCGCTGTTAAAGCGTCCGCGAGGATTTTACGACTTTAGCGGGGGCATCTTTCCAGGATACGGCGAATTGAATCGAACGGACGTGCTTCTTTGACTTCAGCAGCCGTTTCAAGGGCGTATATACTTAAGCAGTTTTATTCGGAGAACGCGGATGCATGGCACGCTAGTACGAGATGGCCGCTCGACAGAACTCGCGATGCGGGAAACCGTAAAATTGCCAACGAACGAGGAGCCAGCTGGATGAGAATAACGCGTTACGTCGCTTAAAGAGTCTTATAGCGGATACATTATTGCCTTTTCTCGCGTGATAAACACGATATTCAATAATTGATGACGCTATCAGAGAAAACAAATACGCATGATAAACGACAATTCCATTCGCGGATTAACGCGATGATATTCCACTGCAGGCTATTAAGAAAAACGGATATTTTAGATAACATGCATCGATCTTATCGAGTGATAACACACGTCGTTTGAATATTATCATAAATACAAATTATTAGACTTATATACAACGAATTTTTTTATTATAAAATCATATATAATATATGCAAGAGAGATATACGAGAAAAAAATGATTTTGCTGAAGTATCTAAAAATTTATAGCTAAATATATAGATCTAAAAATAATTAGATAGAATATCAACATTTTTCTCAGCATTATCGTTATGCCTGAGAAGATTTTACATAATTATTTTGGTCCAACAAAATTATTTTCAGATCTTATACCTAATAGTAGTTACATTTTTATAGATACTTTCACAAAACCATTTATTTTATGTTGAAAAATTCATAAAGAGCCTTTATGTCAAAAGTGTGAAAGATCGTCGAGACGTCGAAAACATTCTATAAGATACAAAATATTTTCGCCCGGCAAAACATATTTTTATAGACGAAGGCGCGAACGACGCGAGAAAAAGCGAGCAACGTGAGTGACCTCGGGGGCGAAACGGCGCGGCGACGGCGGGCCGAACGACGGGCGCGCTCAGGAGAAAGCATACAAGGAAATAAAGTAAAAGAACGGCCCGAGACGGGACGACGGTGGCAGGATATAAGCGTGCTGCGGTAGCCACGAATCCTTTCGCGGCAAGAGGCGATTACGTCAAATCATCCCGTGCAACGATTCCGCGCAGCGATTGCCCGGGAGTTCGTGCACGATCGCGCGGGGCCGAAAGTGTGCGGAGCTGCGTGTGTTCGTGTGAGAAAAATCACCGCGGGTCTACCTCCCGGGTTTTTAAGTCCCTCCAGGACCTAGAAGCTAATCTCGACTCGCGGCTCCATAAAGCTCCTTTATGATTGTGACCATTATTTTAAAAGCGGGGATATCTCCTAAGCGCGCGAACGAAATGTGAAGCGAATTAAGTAATATCTCGACGCGCGGCGCTTGAAAAATATTTTTCTCTCGCTACTGCGCTATAAAGTTTCAGATAAGCTTCGGGAAGATTCTGTTTCGCGGACAGAAAGATTGAGTTACGGATTGTGACTCGGGACCACATGCGCGGCGCGCGGCGTTAAGTTTAATCACTCGAAATATTACGAGAATTATTCGTCACGGTAAAGAGATTCGCGAAAATATTTCACTCTGCGTTCTACGCGAGGATGGTAGGGATTAATCGGCTTGTACACAACGAGAAAGAATTAGGGATATAATTCCTATTTTGGGAGGGTTGAGATGTTTTGTAAAATTTTCTCGATTTATGGTAGATACAATGAATAGATCGTGAGTCAGTCAGGAGGGGGGACGAGGACGCCGCGTCTGGGGCTACAACAGAGGAGAAAGATTCGCTTTCGATTTTAATCTCTCCTGATGTCCCTCTTCTCTCGCTTCACCCCTCTCCTTCTCTTCCCCAAGTCATAAGCCTCCCGTGCCCCTCCCCTCTCGCGCGACTTTTTTCTTTTATCTTTTTTTCTTTTTCTCCGCCCTCCCGCTCTTCTCTCTTTCTCTTCTTTTTTTACTCCCTCCCCTTCTACTCCTCCCCTTCTTTTTGCCCATGTCTTCCGAATGCTATTACGTGCGGTTGCTACCGCGCGCGGAGAACACAACTACCGATCAGCTCTGCCCAGAAGACGTGGAACGGGAGGAACTTACAATTAGGCAATTTAAATCAACCGTTCCGATCCCTACGGTGACGCCAATTACCATATTTCATATTACCTATATGGACGAAGGAATAAAGGGGGCTAACACGGCCACGCTCTACGCTGGATTACGAAATAAATCGCCCGCGATATACGCGTGCACGCGTGGTAAAGGTACCTTTTGTTACGGAAAATAAATTTGCCGTTGTTATTATCTGGATTACAGAGAATTATACACGAAGCGATTATATCAGATATGTGAAAGAGAGTTATCCGCGCGCGATATTCACGGAACGCGATCGAAATATTGCAACTGAGAATATTTTCGTATGGAAATTATTTATTTTCCCCACAATTTCAATCTATTAATTGTGTAAAAAGTTATATCTTTTTCGATCGTGCCTGAATTTTTGTTTTCTAACGATTCCAATTAAAATCGTCAATGTAAATGGCGGCGCTATGCATCCGATAAATAAATCTTAGCAAATTGACTAATATAAAATAAAAAATATTTCGAATAATTGCAATACTTTTTCTAATGGAATTTTGATTAACGCCAACGCAAGTAAATGGAGATTCATTCTCGTGTCTGCAAATGATAGCGCATAGATTGGCACAGATTAATAAATGCGCTCAAATCGTTGACAAAGCAGACTCTCACCAGATAGTGACCTCAACATCCGTTGGTTATCAGGTTTACTCAGCGCATCGCTATACCTCCGCGCAGGACGACGCCGCGTGCCGTGGCGAAACACGGCAGGACACGCCGACGCCATGGCGACGGGATTGATCGAGGTGCCTGGCTCATTTGCAAAACAACTTGGCATTTTTTAGATATATCTCCGATATCTCGTAAAGATTTATTCGTCATCTTAGTATTTTGGGTCCTCATTTACATATTATATATCTGTAAATTAAAGTAATAACGGGAATATTCTTGTTTCTCTCTCTATTTTTCCTTGAGTAAGGTAAAGAAAAACAACGTGACGTTTTGTCACTCGAAATGCTAAACGATTTGGCGAGTGGGAAGAATATGAGGAGTTTTGTAGTAGGATCGTGGGAGATTCGAGTTCCGGGAAGATGCTGCAAAGTGCTTCGACCCGTTGCTACGAGTTCACTCGTACACTAGCGCACGAGGAGAGTAGTTACGCGCGCGTTATCGTGCCAGGTCTTGCCATACTGTACATTACTACATCGTGCAGTAGAGACGACGCCGAGGCCCGGCGTACGATGCGAAGAGCAGGACAGACGAGGGATAAGACACGAGCGGGACGAAGAGAGTAAACGCAACGTACGCGGTTTTGCCTCTTTTGCCAGTTCTGCTGTTTTTTTTTCTCTTCCTCTCTTCTTCCCTCTTCTTCGCCTCTCTCCTGCTCTTCGCTGGTCCAGGGACGTATCGACCTACGATGCAGCAAAGATCATTGCCTTCGTTGTCTCGTATTACGCTCTATCTATCGTTAAATTCTAATAATTTCATTAAATCCATTAGACGTATGTAATAATAGAGGTAAAAATATCTTTCAAATTTGATTAGTATAAGAGAAAATGTGGATAGTGCAAACTGTTTTGTTTAAGATGAACGCTAATTGATTTGAATTTTAAGCAAATCGTTTCGATCTTTATCTGCGATGCGAAACCTCTGTAATTATCGATGGCAACAACTGCCGGGACGAAAAAAGAAGAGGTGAAGAAATTAAACATGAAGAACATCCCATGGACGCGAGCCATCGTGTTACAGAAGCTACCGCAGCGGCAGCAGTAATAAGCGGAAGCGCAAATGACAGATGCAAGCTGTGATTAATACGTGTTCGCCTTTCTAGAGAGAGGTAGAGTCATCAATTAGATTCTCTGCACATTGTTATTTTTCATTTTACGGAAAACTCACTTTTATGATTTACTATCACTTACACTTTGTTGGAAATAACGCAAGAGAGAGAATATTTATATTAATTGAAGGGCTTATTCTGAAATTCACTTTAACTTTAAAGTTATAATGATTTTCTCCGTTATTACAAAATGTGGCTTAGTCCACCGTTGCAGCAAACCCTTCAATTTTATAACACATAATTTTTTTGCATTAGCACACAAAGCAGTGCCACAATAAAAGTATGTTGTTTTTTCGAACGGGATGTGTGTCGACTCTCGTGTGAAACTCGTCGAAATAAACACGTCGTTCCTCGGCCTCGCGGATTTAACCCAGATTCAAGTTCTGTGAAATCAATTACGCGGCTGTGTTCTTTTACTTCCGATTGGGACATCTTTGTTGCGAAACGCGTCTCTCCTCTTTTTCGAAAGACGCGTTTGAACATGTTTCGCTGCAGCAGCGGCACGAAGATTCATCGAGAATTCCTCGAAGCTACTCAATGACGAACGTGACGCTCGCGGAGGAAGTCTCTTTGTGCCAGGCGTAAACCGCAAACAGAGAGCACAACATAAGAAGCGATATCGTAATATGATATCACGATATCGGACAAATATTAATATTTGAAAATCACTTCTAACAGGGTCATTCTAAGAATGAACATTGTCTCTTACAGAGATTAATATCAGTATTTTTTGTGAGTTTCGACAATCTGTTTTTGAAAAAATCTTTGGAAAGACATTTAATTAATTGACTCTTCTAAGATTATTATTTTTAGTTCCATTTTTACTGTACGATTGATTTTTGCGTACGAGCCTTCCGTCAATTTCCGCGAAGTTTTACCGTGAATACGAAACGCGGACGGTGGTACACACGACGGAGGTACGCGACAGCCTCCAGCTTACATCCCTGCCATCTCCTCCTCCCATCCATCCTCGCCTCTTCTTCGTGCACTCCCCCATTCCCTTCTGCATCGCCCCGAAGGGCCGATCTTCTCGTCTTTTTCCCCTTCGGGCCCCCTCTCGTTCGGTTTGCTCGCTTTGTACAGCGTCACGGCTACTTTTGTTGCTCCTCGCGCTGCTCTTCCTTTTTCTCTTGCTGCGTCCTCCTCCTCCTCCTCCTTCCTCCGCTTCCCTCCGTCCATCGCTTCTCTCTTTGTCCCTCCGGCTATGCTCGGTTCTTCTTTGCCCCGAGATTCGTTCCTCCTTTTTCTCCCTCCTCCTCCTCCTCCTTCTTCTTGCCTGCCCTTCGCTTCTCGCTCCGAGCTGGTCCAGTTGCTTCTTTTGTTTTGGTCGAGTGAACGAGAACGGCTACGTGCGAGAAAGGAAGAGAGAGAAAGAGAGAGACGCGGAGAGAGAATAAGAGAGAGAAATTACGAGCGGAGAGAGAAAGACGTTGGATCGACGGAGAGAGAGAGAGAGAGAGAGAGAGAGAGAAACACACTTGAGCGAAGCGTGTCTCGACACGCGAGATGCAGGATCGAATTCGACCGTCGGATCCGGATCTACAAAACTCGCGATGTCTTGGATCATTTTCGTCTTGAAGCCTTCCCCGCGCCCGTTCTTGCCACCCTTTGTTGTTGACGCTCCGTTTTCCCTCTCTCTCTCTCTCTCTTTCTCGTACCGATTTGAAGATCGATTTGACAGAAAAAAATGCTACTGCGCGGCTTGTAAAATTCGCTACGCCGTAAAACGCGTCGCTCTGGATGCGCTAATTATATTCAAAAAGTCCGCGATGATTATATTTCATATGAGAGAAGAAGAAACGAGTCACTGCGTGACTTAATGCGCGATAATATTACTGAGACATGTTAAAACGTGATTCACGACAAGTTATACGAACAGAGCTGACCTGTTGAACGCACAAGATTTTTATTTCTGTTTCGCATTCTGTTCCACGTTTGGAAATAGTATACTTGTTTTTCTGATATTTTTACTTTTTCGTAGGAGAGCTTGTTTGCTCGGGACCATTCCTTCTTTCTTCCTTTAAAAAAGCGTATTGTAATCACAGAGTAGATATTGCTCATATCGCCGCTCCGTGTGTCACGAGATTCGATATGTGCGTGGGTGAGCGCTCTCCCTAAACATACACCGCGAGGTATACGAGGAGGAACGCGCGGTGAACCGAGAGATTCGATGAAGCTGTAAGAGGGACTCGTAGAAATGCGAAGGCGGGACAAAAAGGAAGGACAAGCGTCAGCGATCTTCCTTGGTGAACGGCCACTTATCGGGTATCCTGCAAACGCGTCGGCTTTCCATAGGGCAGCACAATGCGCGGGGCATACACTCGCTATTCTGCAAAGATCATTAATGTCATCGGTACCGAGTGCGCATAATACCGAAGCCGGACAGCTAGAGAAAGAGAGAGAGAGAGAGAGAAAGGAAGAGACGCGGTAACGAAGCCGTAATGAACGGCAGTTCCGTCGAATAGAAGCCTCGACACGCGGTGCGCTCGCTGATTGCGAATAAAGGAGGAATGATCGGCGACGCGCTGCGCCGGAGCACGCTTGGACACGTGCGCATACGGGCGCGTACGCGCTCTTTCCGCTCGGGCACGCGTAGGAACCGAAAGGAGACACGAGAATGGGTTATCTATAAAAAGTTTTGAAAAATATTCGATTCGCATATTAGATTTTCCAATTGCTAAAGAATGCTTTAAAAAATGCTAAAAAAGCAGATTTTTAATCAAATTTAATCGCGCTTGCAGCTCCCCTTTTTAGAAATTCGAATAAATTCCTCGATAAGATTCACTTTGACTCGTCCGTCGTACGAGCGTCGATTTTCAGAATGTGATTACATCTCGTTCGTTTCCCGATTTACTGTCTATAGACATACTCGATTACGTTGTTTCTAAGCTCGCTCTCGCACGATGATGCCGAAGATCCCACAAGCTCCCTGCCCCGTCCTGGAAATAGTAAGAGCGAGCATTACGCTCGGACACGTGGTAATTTACAGCTGTGCGTACGAGGCGCGGGTAGTTCGTAAACAACAGGTTTCTTTGTCCCGCTCTTCTCTCTCGGCACACAGGTACTTCTCCACGCTGCCTCTGCTCTTACGCCTTTTTTCAATTTTTATACAGTCAACGCGGGGACCGCGCTTCTCTTTCCTGTCTTCGCTACACTTCATCTTCTCCCGTGTTCCCTTTTGTGTCGCCGAGCTCTACGCAATGATATTAATTCCACGTAACGAGAAATGATTTCTACGCAACAGTTACCATTTTCTACTAAAAGAAATATTCATGTCGAGCTTATATTAGTAGATAGAAAAACAAAAAAAAACTTTCTCTGGAAAAATTCTTTTGCTTTTATATGTTAAAGTCTGTGATATTTTCTTGTTTCGCGATAATTCTCGATTCAATTTTGATATTCTTCTCGTGAAGAGAACTCGTTTCTTCATCCACGCTGTTGACCGTACCGCGTCTGTACCGAGGAAAAGTGGATCGCGTAGTTCAGAAGTCATCACACGCGGTCATCGTCTCGGCACACACGCGCGCGTCGCGTGTACGCACGCGCACACGCACATCCAGGAATCTCTCTCTCTCTCGGTCGTTATTATTACTCCAACAGTAATCCGCTTCGAATCCCGACCTAAACGATCGATTTGCTCCTGTTGCACTACTCCATTCGCGTCTCTTTCATTCTTCATTTCTTGCTCCATCTCGAATCGTCTCGGCGAGGTGTTCATTATATCGTCCTGCGATCCCTTTGCAATGCAACTTGCTCTAATTCTGATTTGCCTATCTAATGTGGAGCCGCCTTAAATAGCCTTTCCAATCTTCTGCGAACGATCATCGATTATTTCCAGCGACAGCGATGCGCGTATATTGAAAGCGTGTTCTTCTCGTATTCCCCCTTCGTCACGATTTACGATTCATTTGGCTCACGGTCGAAACGAATCGTAAGAGCTCGCGATCTTTCTTGACGCACGTATCGAAGCCTGTCGTTGCATAAGCCTTCCTTACGAACATTTAATTTCCGAATTGATTTGTACGTGTGTGAAAACGATAAAATCGTGCCTGTAAAACTGTAAACCAGATTTAGATCTTAATGTATGCGGATAGAGAATCTGGCGTCATTTTACATCTCACCATATATCAGTTGAACGCTGGGAATTTCGTTATCGTAATGATGCACGACATATCACCCTCGGAACAGGAAAACTGCACGCTTTATCGAACAAGAAGTTATATCGGACAGAATAAAAAGAAAAGAAAAATAATTTTCTAACTGATGCAAGAAAATTGATTACAATTCAAGCTAACAGTAAGACATTTTTTTAAAGATATTCACAAGTCTCTTTTCAAGCATCCGTGTAATAAATGCACTTTCCCTAATGGGCTTTAACCGGTGACCAAGAACCACGCTCGAACCCTCTTGTTGAGCCTCGGTGATGGCTTATCAGTCCGTATCTTGTACAAACACGTTCCACCTGGTCTCGGACAGTCGCGGCCCACGCCATTTTCTACCGGCGCTCTGCCCACGTTGTTTCGTAACGTTTCACGAGACCACTTTATCTCGTACGCGCTCCGTCTTTCATCTTACGCCTCCCTCTTTCCCTCCTCTGCCCCCCCGCCACACATCTCACTGCCGATAGATGGGCCCGATGCTTCTGTACCGCTGGTAACCGGGAGCCGATACCGGTGTAATTTCGACGAAGGCAACTTTTTACGCCACGCGTGAAAAAAAGGAGCCGGTATATGAGCCTTCATTTCTGCCGTTATATTTATACCAAGCGATTTATCTCGCTACCATAATCCACGGGCGTAACGTACTATCACGGTCGTTCACGAAACACCGAAGCGGGGCGACCGCGTCCCTTTTCCTTTTTTACGGGACGGACATCAACGGGGCGAATTGCGGAAACACAGGTATCGCTTTTTAGGCAGGAAAATGGTTGCCGATTACAGTGTTTTCGATACGGACTGCTTTTGCCGTTCCAATTAAGGCTTCAAATCAAGCAGGAAGAAGGCGAACGTACCCTCTCGGACGGTGCGATATCTTCTTTTTATTTCGCAGATGATGATGATGGGTGTCCGCTCGTATCGAGCGACTGATTATAGTGTTCTCAGCTGATTAGCTCGCTTGATCCTTTCGATAGGTTCCCTTCTCGCGCAAGAGCTTTCCAAATCCACGTAAAAGATGAGGACCGGAGACGGGATTTTCAGTGTTCGCTTTTAATTTTAGGCATACCGAACACAACAATAGAATAGGCTTAATTTCAAGTAGTGAACAGAATGCATAGCGTTCCAACGATAAAGTAAGCAAGAATTTTAAGAAAAAATTTTACATGCGAAACATCCTTCAATCCCTTCGCTACAACGATTCGTATAGATCGTTTTCCACCGATCCGATCCCCATAACGCGATCAAGTTACTTTGTGGAATTTCTCACGTAGAAAACGGGCGGCGTCCGTAATCCGGGCTTATGGCCCACGAGATGCCTGGACGTGCTTTAATATGATTTAAACCCATCGCCGTGTTGCGCGGGCTACCGTGTTACGGTCGTCGGACTTTTCTCCTTGCCGCGCCGGCTCCTTCTCTCTGTCGCCGCTGGACCATCCGCGCGGCAGCGCAGTCCTTGAGGTCTCCTCAGAGAGATCGCGGGAACGGGAGGAAGAGGGAGAGAAAGCGAGAGAGAAGGGAAGAAAACAAGGAGGGAGATACCTACACGCGTGCGTACACGCAAGAAAGTGGCGTAAAATACGCAGGCGAAGCACGAGTTTTTGCCGGCACTGGCCGGCCGATCGCCTTTGAATTTTAAGCGTTACCCGTTTCGCGAGACCGACGAGAGCATCGTTGAAGCACCCACATGCTACGAGAGAATCAGTCGACGATTGCATATTAATACTTACTTATTCGTATTGATGAAAAAATATATCGTTTTATATCGCGAATTGATTAACGATGATTAAAAGCTATATAAAAATCTAATATGTATCATAAGATATAGGCTGTTATTAACATATAAATTTGTATATATATATATATCTCTTGGAGATTTTTAAATGATTAACATTTTGAATGCTATAGTAGAATCTACATGCGTCTGACAATTATTATATGCATGAGCAATGTCTTCGATGTACATATATGTATTTATAATGATTATTTTTATTTTCTTTTTCTGCAAGAAAATATTCTATTCAGTATTTGTCATTATGAGTCTATCGTTCGTAATTTAATTTCGCACTTAAAGGGGTTAACGTTACGTTAAGTGTATAAAAGGTCAAATTGTAAATCGCGCCACTGCACAGCCACGAAACGTTCGGCATTATCGACAAAATGCTGACCCACGTTTGGGAGCCTTGTCCGAGGGAAGTGAAAAATATAAACGTCGGCGTCTCGTTTGAGGCGATTCGAGGAGACGAGACGGAAGATCCGCAGTTGCGGGGACAGTCGGCATTGTGCACCTCGTTTCTGGTCCTCCGTTCTCTCCGTTCATTGCGCATTTCTCTCCCTACGCCATCCCCCTGCCACGAACTCTTTGAGGAAGCCGCCTCGACGCGAGAGAGCGGGGCACGGGCAACGCACGCACCAGGTACCTCACTGCGGGGCCCGCGCCACGGCAAAAGTGACAAGGCCCCAGCAATTATAACGGATGGCGCAAAAAAATGGCGCCGCGGTACGGATGGCCGGTTGGGGCCGACCGGCCGAGTCGGCTACCGTTTCTCTGCCCCTTTCGCCAGGAACCTTTAAGTGTATATATCAGGGAACCCCGATGATTAATCGCGGGTATCGCGGCAAATCTCGACCGTCGGCTCCAAGTCGTCCGAATTTGTTCAAAGGCGGCACTCGAGATGAAACAGCAATATATGTACATACGTGTGTGTGTGTGTGTGTGTGTTATTGTTAATAAATGCAAACATATTAAAAATCTTAACTTGAGACCGCGCGGATACGTTCAGTAGAGATACAAATCGGGGACGAATGAATTACAACTGATAATATATATTTAATTACTAATATTAATAGCCTGATATAAGAATTATCGAGTACGATATAACATATTGATATCAAACTGATATTTTTTTTTATGTAATCGACTTCGAAGCACACCGTGAGCAATTCCGATTTTTCTTTTAACAAGCACGGACTTGTTCCGGCACGAGATAATAATCATTCCCGCCGGGCGAGGATCGAGCTTCGAACGTGAGTGTGATTAATTCTGATTCTCATGGAGATTCCGCGCCATTGTAGTCGGGAATATACGCGGCCGCGATGTAATCGTAATGAAGAAACGTAGTTTCGTCCGTGGCCTTATCCGTTAAATCACGAACGCGAATCAATTATGCGTGGTAAAAATATCCGAAATTCAAGCCTGTAATCAGCGCGAGCAGCACGGGGGTCGGTTGTTAAAGCCTCTAATTACAAAATTGCTATTTAACCGTCCATGCTGATCGACACGATCTTTGGCTTCCGTGGAATTTCGGAGATGCTATAAATAATCGGGGAGAAGGGGCGGGGGGCGAGGGGGAGAAGAGGATAACCTTGTGACAGAGGGTAGTAATTTAATCTCGACATTGTACGGCGTGATTAATTACTCCTCGTACGGCAAGATGAAGAATATCATATAAACAAGAATTAAACGATAATGCGGGCTTTTGCTATATCTTTATACATTAATTCTCTCTCTCTCTCTTGCAGCCTGTATATATATCATTTATTTTAAAATTATACGCAAAAGCATTAAAAGAGACGATGACCTTTGAATTGTAAGTGAAAATGTAATATCTAATGCGGAAATTAAAACAGTTAAAAATACTATACAAATAATTTTTTTTATATTGAAATTTTCGTTATAGAAGATCCAGATTAAAGCTCATTAAATCCAATTCTTTAAAGAGATCATCATTAAAATTTAATTCGAGATATGTTAGCAATTAATTCCTCTACTAGTAGATATTAGTTAAATTCACGCGCCTACTCCAGGATATTACGAAGCGTCCAAAAATAACATCATCCACCTTTTTGGATTAATGTACCATCTAACGGGCACGAGGCAAGTTACAGTATTGATTAATAGCTTAAGAATCCTCCAGATGACTCTCAATGTACTAAAACGGCTCTTCTCTTTGTTTAATTGACATTTAATTTTGTTAAAAATTGCTACAATTACACAAAATAATCTCAATAATTAACAAAGAAATATAATTTTTACGAATAATGAAATTTATACATTCTCTATCTTGCGTTTTTTTTAAATGCACGCAAAACAAAGATCGTGCATAATATTTGGCGTAGCTATAAAAGAGATAAATATTTATTGTTAAAATTTAGATAAGGTATTTTTGCTGACTGTAAGAATTTAATACAAAAAAAAATGTCATGTACAATAAATATCAATCTGCGTTTTTTTTCTACATGTTTTTTTAGGATGATATTTTCTTTTAGATAATAAAATGGGTTATTTTTAACTTGACCCTGGGCAAACTGGAGCGCACAAAAATTAAAAAATATCGTAGAGAAACTCTGAACGCTATCACTTACCTTTAGCGTCGCAATGAACGTCCAGCCAATACCTTGTCCAGCAATTTCCTCTCGTCGCCACGATGCCTTTCGGGAACGAGATGGGGATAACGAGATGATCCTTCCGCTTATCCTCTCGTAAGTCTCCAACGGGGATGATTTGTTGCTGATGTCCGGCTTATGGCGATCCTGCGATTGCAAAAATCCTCAATTACGTCCTTGTAATGCGATCGATCGATTGATGCTGAATTCAACATTCCCGATATTCCTCTCACGCGTGAATGGCGCGATACACTTGCAAATAACGAACGCGAACGACAACTTCGCACCGATGACCAAGTCATCGCGCGACGGAAGATTCACACGCCAAAATCGATTCTCCTCGCGAAAACAGCTTGCCATCGCGCGTTTATGCATTATCGATTGTACCATGCGTGCTACAAATTTTTGTACGAGCGGAAAAATCGTAGAGCGACGCGGCGGCTAACTTACGCCGACGCGCGATGCCCCGCGAGCTCGATGCGGCGCGAAGGGCCATTTATGCACGCGTAAAATCTAAAAATTATTACAAAAAAAATAGCTTGCTATACGCATTCGTACATTGAATCTCTCGCTGCCTCTCTAACGTCAAACTCGCTGCTATCAGCATTCGCTTCGAGCGCGAATTTAAATTTCTAAATCAAAGAGCTGACACGGAACGACGCGGCGACATGATCCTCGCACTGAGCTTCGTCGCAATGTCGCGTCGATCAGAATTGCTCGTACGAGGAACAGTTCATCTAGCATCTTACAGTCTAAATTATACTTTACGTCGATACTTTACGTGGATACCTTCTCGGGATGTACTATTGCTACAAGCGCGACATGATTTTTCGATGCGAAAGGGTCGGCGAAACGCGGAGCGTGCCGGAGCTGCTTCGAAACGACGCGACCTGCGACTCTAAGATGGCGACTGCGCGATGTGCGCCACACGACGGATTTTCCGCGAAGCGCGATTCCATCCGGCGCGTCGATAAAAATCCGCCGTCGGTAAAATTCGTCGTCAGAAGTATAACGTGTGTCTCGAAAAGTGGATCTAGCACAGACGTAAACTAAATAATGATTTACTAACACACCACAAATTGTATTACTTTATTTTAGCGTTACAGCCGCTCGCAGGATTCTCTCTGACTTGACTAATGTAGTGCAACATGGCGGCTACTAGCAGTAAGCCGGTCGGTCTCGCGCGCGCGCCTTTTTCGCAGTTGAGAAACGTGCGAGTGTCAACAAACAACTTTCACTTTCATATGAAAACATCGCAGGTCGATGAGTATAGCAACCGACAGCGGCGTAAAGTATCGAGGTGACACAATGGAAAAAGAACTGCCAAGACAGTCAGCAAAACGGATCAAGTTCACGAGGGAATCGGCTATCACTGACATCGCATCTTCTCTTGGTAAGTTAACCAAAATGTAAATTTTACTTGTGCGATTTCTGTGACAGTTGATAGAAAGCAATAATGGGAATAAGATAAAGTAATAGGCAGTTCATTTCCTTTATGGATAATTGATATTCCTTATAGAAAACTAGTGAAATTCTGTGCTATAGTTTTATATACCAATGTACGTAATTATTGTTTTAGATGACACAGCTAACTCCCTTCAATCTATGAGCGAGAGTTTCAGCGACATTCTAAAAGTGAACACGAGTGTCGTCAGGTATCTACAGAACGTTGAAAGACGTAAAAAGGCATTAGAAGTTACAGAGACCGTAAAACATACATTCATCAAGGAGAAACAGTAGTTAGGTATAACGATTGCATTTGTTCAATTGCATTGTAATTAATATTAAGAATTTCGTATTACAATATGACTTAGATGTAAATACTAATCAATATACGTGATGTAATCGACAGTCCCGCATTGCATGTGTCGCGTTATAAATTTATTGCTACGTATGTCACATGTGACAAGTAGGGCAAATAAAACAAGCAATTTGCGCATCGACGTGACAATAAATACAAACAGAAATAACTATATACGACATAAATAACATTGATAAGATCTTGTGGCGGTTATTTTCTTATATCACAATGTCTTTTGATCTTTATTCGATAGTAAACGCACAGTAGTTTAGCACGAAAACACCTCGGAACTGGAAAAGTTTGTGTCTCACTCTGCGCTTCAGAAGTATAATTGTAATCTCTCATCACCGAATCGCAGAAGAAATTATTTTATTACCATATGTGTGTATTGCAAATGTAAGAGACAAAAACGTTGCGCAATTTGCAACATACACTTTGCATCATGATAAAATTGTGATAACTCAATGGTAAAACAATTCGTCTCTTCCAGTTCTCAGGCATGGAATTAATGAGAGGTGTCGTCTATGTGATAAAGAAATTAACAAAGTAACTATCGATTCGTTTTAGCAGTCTTGTAATCCGTCGTGTGTCCGTCTAAATTCTCGTCATTTGTATTCGGGATCTTCCTTGGGTTTTCTTCTGGGATCCGACGGGTCCAGGGGGATTATCACCGGGGGCCGCCTGTTTTCCGGCTGACGATTTGTGAAATTGTAATTCGTGGACGCAAACCTGTTTACCGGTCTAGACAACATTATCGGTCCACATCTGGAACACATTTGCGGTTACGTGCCAATAATTACGGAGCATGTATTGTAATATCGTGCCAAATTGTGTGAACCGAAAGTGCAGGACATCGTTCACCACATCTCTCAATCTCAAGGTTTTCGTAAAGTACTGCCGGTTTACATCGTTATTTTTTTTAACGATTTATTTAAAACGGCAATTGTTAGTAGGATACAAACATTCCATCTCCAGAGTCATAGATATTAGTTAGTGTTTATACATCACATGAGGTATACGTCGTTTTAGTTTAATGACTAGGCAATGAGGAAAATTTTGATGAGAAGCGAGTCTTCATTTCGTTGTTTGGTTCATTCGAAATTCTGGCGAATTACATCGCCTAGTGAAAGTCATCGGTATGAAGAGATCGGAAGTGCTTTCGCTCACGTGCAAAATATCCTGTACATAGAGGAGATAGTAGGAAAGTGCGAATTTGGAACGCATACATAGATTCGCGCGTGGGACATAAGGAGAAAGGGATGAAATTTGCAAAATTTCGTGCAGAAACAAAGCGGAAACGGTCAAAATAAGTCCAAAATATTTAGGTGGATGGGAAATAAATCGGTGCGTTCGTAAATCATGACAGAGTAAAGTGCAATGAAAGAGGAAGAGCGCCTTATTCCTTTAGCAGATTATCCCCTTATTCTGTCGGCTCACACCTGCACGTGTTAGGGTTGAAGTAGTAGCCGGTGGTGCACGGCTCGACGGTCCTGCACGAGCAGACGCAGAGCGTGGAGTTCCAGAGCTTCGTGTCGTTGCTCCTACGACACTTCTCCTCCTCGTCGACGTTGTTGCAGGCGCACTTGCAGTTGTGCGGCTCGTAGTGTTGCTTATCATTGCAGTGCTGAAGGTAAAAAAAAAAGGCATGAATCATCGACGAAAAGGAATGTCAACACTTCACGCGCTCGCGTATAAACACGGCTAAATTTCGCCTGTTCCCCCGCGTTGACACACTTCGCGACGCGTTCGCGCACGTTGCGAGGAAGCGACAATTGTAACAATCAGCGAAATTGGTATATTGAGAAACGGCCGTAACGTAATTTGGATTAAATATTGTGCGGTGTGTTAAATATTGTACGCTGAACACGTCGCGCAAATCATCTCAATGCTTACTAACACGTCCTTTAGAGTTTTTGCATTTTTTTTATCTTTCGGATCTTCTTGCATATCCGCGATATGACATAATATCTCAATTAATTGAAACATCAATCTCTCGCATTACGTCTGAAGGACGAAGCGGGGACGAAGATGGACGCGTGGAAAGTGATTCACGCTTTTGAAATGCCTATTACTTCTGTTTCTAATGAATTTTCGTGTATTGTTGGGGTACTTGGAAGAGCGGAGCTCGTGTTCCTTTCAGCCGACCGGCTGACGTAAATCGTTCCCGAGTGGCACATGCATAGGCCGCGTGAGGAACAATGCGAGACGGTCGTGCGAGGTGTGAAACTCGTAAACGGCGCGGCCCGGTTAAGGCAGGAAGGCATCAATTAACCGCCAATTATCGGTCGCCGTCAAATTACCTCCTCCTTGATTGTGCAGTCGCACTTGCACTTAGTGTGCTCCTCCACTGGCACAATTCGCCGTCCTCGGTATTCCAGATCGCTCATCGACGTCACGATCACCTTAAGACGCGAAAAAAATAAAAGAAATAACGATGTTCAATTATTGCTTTCTCTCGAGTTGGTTGCTTATAATAATAGGCGCGTTTTCGTTCGTGCTGTTCAACACGACGACGATCGATTACCTCGAAGTTCCGCATCTCCGTAGCTGTTGGCTGGCACGAGAGCAGAGGGCTAATGCAACAGCCGCCGCATCTTTTGATCCGTGTGCAGAGTGGGAAGACGAACGTCGACGGATCGTCGTCCGGTTTTAGGGAAACGAGTTGCAGCTCGGGTATACACTTGGCCGGCGTCGGCATCAACGCGTTCGATCGTTCCTCGCCTCCGAATCTACCTGAAAAGAATCGTTGTTTGTGAGTGTAATCGGAGAAACTTTCCTCTTTACGCTTCTGTAGATACGATATACAGTCTCCGGTTTACGTAATATAAAATGTATTTCGTAATACAGTAGAAAACTTGAATAACTCGTTGGATATATTAATTCCAAGTAGATCACGTATTATAGATTTTTTAAATATCTCGTAAATGTCCTGTATTATCGTAAAAGTCTGAATGGAATAACGTTGCGATAGCGTCTAATTTATTAACTGCAACAAGTTATACTATTAAAACAATACTAGTTTGTCAAGAAATAAGCGAAATCGTGATCAGTTATTATTAAATTGATATTACAGCTTCTCTAGGTAGCAATTATTTCTTTTAGATTGCGAAAATGTCTGACGAACGTGCCCATGCCATCTCAGTTGTAAACCGTTTTGCCTTGCTAGTCGAAGGAATGATTCCCGGTTTTAAGGACCATCTCGCAGAAGATGTAGTACTCAAATGGTTCGGAAAGGTGCAGATTAGAGGAAGAAAAAACGTAGCTGCCTTTTTGCTGTCCAATAAAATGGAGACCTTTCACATGTTTTCTAATATTACGCCAATTTCCGGTATCTCTTACGAAAGCAAACGATCGAATAGGTGAGAATATTGAAATCAACGATAAGTTACGCATACTCGCAATTGCATTCTTTACGATTATATCATCCGAATTTATGAAATCGATATCTTTTTCCAAAAATTAGTCAAAATAAAAATTATTAATTTATAATAATTACGTGTTATAATAAATACGTGTACAATTATACGCAATAAATTCATTTGAGAAAGTGTAACGTTTATTAGATAATTAGGCAAAGATGGTTTCACGCACATACATTTTTTGCGTAGGAAGATAAAACAGTCCACAGATCAGAACGCTAACTGCGAAACCTACACGGACAGTTATTCACACGAAGCACCGGCTTGTTCTTCATACAAGACTGAAATGTCAACGACCCATGAAAATGTAAAAGATTGTGATCAGAAAAGCAATGGGAACTATGCGGCTTTCGTATGTGAATCAGCTTCTAACGGATGCGAGTTTCAAAAAATGTTTGAGGAAACCGAAGATTTGAGAGTCGAAAAATGTTTAAGTAAACTGAAAATATCGACAAATTGCGATCATATGAATAGTAATAACGATGTGAATAAAAATGAATTTAGTGCGAATGCAACCGCCGAGATGGATGGCCTAAGTTATGATCTTAACGAGAACGATCTCTATAATCTTTTCGAGCCTGAGATTACGTCTCAGTCTGTCGTCGACAAGATACAGAACATTAATAGGATAAAATTGAAAGAGGAAATGGCACCAACCGTCAGTGCCATCAACAGAGAGTGCGGTCAAGGAGATGAACCTGTTACTGCTGAAGCTAACGCGACTAAGTACCTGGAAGCGAGCGGAGAAATAAAATTTGTACGATCAAGTACACAAACAGGTAACTAGAAATAAATTTAATTAAAAACAATTGTCAGATGGATAGATTATTATTGCTCAGACATACCTCTCTAGATTTATAATATTATAAATTAAACTTTATTAGGAGAGGTAAAAAAAAATCATATAAATTATGAAATTACATATATGATATTTTGCCAACAATAAGTTCAATATATTAAAGCAAGTCAACAATTAAAACAGAATTAATTATATATGCTAAAATATTTTATGAATTAAATTTCAGATTCTATGTTGTCGTATCATTGGTCAAAACTCGGGCAAAAGAAAGTCTGGAAAAAACGATGCAACGTGCAGATGGCGTATTCACTTTTAAACGATTTGTCGAAGGCTGCTAATAAATGCGACAATGCGCAGGAAAATAGTTGTTCCACTTGCATTTCGAATCTTTCGGCTAGAGTAGATCACAGTGCAGGTAAAATACAAAAAAGTAAATTGCCAAGTTTAGAAGAGGTAATCCAAACTAACGATGCATTAATACGGGACGTAAATTATTTCGGTGGTTACCTTTATCCCGTAAACTTCTCGAAGGATCGCGAAGAATTGTTAGAAATGTTCAAGGAAAAGAGTTCCAATGTGGATTCTTGCGTACATTACGTCGACAATAAATGGGTCTTCCATGTTCAAAATAAAAAACCGTTTAATGTCACGTATCAAATCCACGAGCTCGTTTATTCGAAAGTCAAGGTAAAAAAATTCGACACGTGTGGAACAGCACAGGTGAAAAATATAACTTTAGCATAACTTTGCGCGGCCGAATGACAATTGCGTGTGTGTTTGGTCTCGGTTAGGTAATATCGTCAGAAGTGAATCAATTGGCCGGATACGCGAATTTTCATTTGTAACGAATAGAAGGCTGTTTCCTGTGTTAATCGAGAAATCGTTTAACTCTGGCAAGGTTACAAAAAACTTAAGACTTGCAAGAGAGTTTGTACGAATATTTTGAAAAATAGTATAATATGTACTTATAATCCACATCGAAAGTATCATAAACATTTACATTATGGAATGATCTCAGTTCACATTGATATGCGTTTGTGTAAACAACGGAAAAATCAAAAGACCTATCGTGCCGCGGTTTTATGTCCCTGCTTAGGTGATGAAATATAGACCTTACTGCGCTGTGTCTTTATTTGCATATTATAAATTATTAATTTTCCTACTATATATATAATGTATTCGTTATCGTAGCTGTATCAGGTGATGTTGGAACATGATCAGTATCAATTCATTTCAAAATTTTGTTTTGGCGACATATTTTCTGAATTTTCGATAATTAATTATGATAATAGTAGTTTTCTATTTCGATATTTGTATTTAATAAATTGGAATTTGCAACGAGTAAGCTTGGGTTTGTCGCTTCTTCTATGGGACGGGAGATTTTCTCAAGATTATTATTTGTCATTGCATTATTTATATTTGCACTTAGCACGTAATAAAGATAACGCGAATTATACTTACTGGCGAACGCGATACCCTTTTCGCTCTCCGGAACACCGTGAAGAAGCTGCATAAATTGATCCACCGAGTCTATTTCATTTAATCTAGTCGCTAAATCGATCGATATCTAAAAAAATAATTATTACATATAGATTGTGTGTGTGTGTATGTAATATAACATGCATTTGTTCCATATTTATATATAATATCTTTGTTGGAAAATAATCTAATCGAAATCCGATAACATGGATTATAAGTTTCGACTAATATACGTGACTAAGTAGAAAATCCGAGATTGCGATTCGAAAGCTATCGAAAACAAAAGGGTCGAGATAACATTGTCAATGCGCGGTTAAAGTTTCTTGTATTTTTTCTCCCGAACGCTATGCGGGAGAATTTAACGCCCAAGATTTTTAGCGAGATCAGGAACGATCGATTACATTATTTATAAAATTGAGGAAATAATGATTACTAGTTTGCTTTATTAATTCGCGGTTAGCAATTTTCCTGCGTTAGCTATATTGGAAAGCTTGACGTGTGCGTAAGCAAAGATAAATATAAAATAGGATTTTCTTAAGAACTCATTTCGATTCGAACGTGCACGGGGATCAGAAAAAAACAGAAGAACGGTAAATCTCAATGATCATACGTGCTGCAATAATCACGATTATTTCCACGGTTATTTCTTTCGTAGATACACTCTCATAAATATTGACTAAAAGAATAAATATAAAATTAAATTCTCCGGGGTATTCCCGCGGACTGTGAATCATCCTGTTCGATCGCGGCTTACGATAGGTACGTGACTAAGAAGTAAATAATCTCGATGAAACAAATGTCGGTCAATGATCCATGTTGTTGCACAAAAATCCCGATTTCAAAAGAAAAATAGATTTTGCCTTTTTTCACATCAGCTGCCTTTAGACTGAAAGTCTTAACATATTCTTCTGTTTCTATGTAATCACCAACAACGATCTTGATTTGTTATAATCTACCGCACGTCTTATGTAAAATTTGTTAGCTTACGTCTAGTTCAATTCTGGAATAGTTTATTTTTTATCGCTCTCATTGCTAAAAATATTATATGACTGTGCTTCTGTAAAGGGGAAATCGATTACAGATTGATAAATATCTAGATAAAAAAGTATAAGTAGCTTTGGGACATTGCATAGTTACTTTATTAGTCATTGATAATCACTGCTTTGAATGGATGCGAAAACACCTCTATAGCTTCGGTATCACGATTTAAACAGGTTTTTAAGGTGGTCAAATCGCTATTATATTACACAGCTGTCAGAAAAGGAGCAAATAACTTGTACAGATTTAACGAGTGGTTGGAGATGTAAGCATTAGCATTTTAATATTAACCTATTATTAGCAGGAAATAATTCACGCGTTTCATTAAATCATGTACAAATTTCAAAATTTAATTTGTTCAAAAGAATAATCATTGATCGACCGAAATTTAAATTCGTAAAAAAAATTGTTCAAAATTAATCCAAAAATATACTCCGGAATTTTAACACGAATTTCATGGAACACGTTTATGTCTGCGGAGGACACGAGTGTTCTTCGCGCAATATATCGCTGCGTTAAGATAGAAAAGTGACACAAGTGAAAAATAGCATTTTTGAGATAACGAAAGGAAATCGACTCTAAAGACCTTGGGGTCGATTTCCTTACATTACCTTAGAAAAGATAATTTTCAACTTGTGCCACTCTTCTATCAACGCAGCGATAGGCATGTATAATGCCTCCGGAAGATTGCCTTGACTTCGAAATAGATGTTCTCTCAGGTGATACCAGCACAAACGCAGTCTCGTGGGGGATTTGGGGAAACAGGTTGAACGCGTTATGATTTGCATAATCGAAAAATATTCCGTGTCCCGAAGACACTGTGTATTTCCTGGAAATGACCTCGGCGCGAGAAACCGCGGTACTCTGAACCCGTTCTCGAGCACGTTTCGCGTAGATATCTAAATTCGCGCGCAACTCGTGGAACTCAAGAAATCGCGAGAAACGGAACGGCTTTGCGATAACGGCCGCGAATGATAGTGGTTTTTCCTTAACGAAAGTAGCCTCTCGACTCTCGTCGGAATAGCCCTGGGTTCCGACCTTGCCGGAAAGCAAGGTTGTGCCTTCGGTTTAACACCTAGGCGCCGTTATGTTTTATTAATCGCAGCCTCGATTTCGCTTCTGACTCAGAACCGTGGTGACGATATTGTAATTATCGTGTAAAGCCTAATAGCTACTATTGATATAACGATTTCTCCTAAGTCGGCAGCTATTTACTCAGATTCCTACAGTTTGCACGTGGATTTATTACTCCGCGCTGCATTTATACACGTCTAGAGAGAGAGAGAGAGAGAGAGAGAGAGGAAAAGATTTCTCGAATCGGACTATTACTTGCAGTTTTTATCGCTATTTAGTAGTAATTCGCGCATCGAAAAAAAAATAGCAGTCGTTCGGTAAAAAAAACTGATCCGATATTTGCACAATTGCAAGATGATGTACGATCGATTTTACATGCCAGTAATCGTAAGTCGTGTCACGCATTGCGATTGTTTCACCGTACAGATATCCTCGACATTGACAAATTCAGCTTTCGACATCGTTTCGTTCTCTTCGCGGAAAGTCTGAGTCTTGAAAACGTGTTGCAATGCGTGTCATTCATTTACAGCTGTTCTTTGGAGAGTAAAAAGTAAAAAACAGAAGTCGAAAGATTATAATAGGGCATTTATCTGAGAGAATTAGCAAAAGTGAATGTTTTGTTAATACAATATATTAATATCAAACTGTAACAATCAGCGTTCGCCTTTCCGATCTCTCGGTGCACGAAGGTCTTTTTGAAACTGGATATTATTCAAATCAATTTAAATTTCGAGCAGCAACACTATGGATTTAATTCAGAGGCTTAATTCAATCTGTACCAATTTACCGGCGTATCGCTGTCATCCGCGGAACCCCTCGCGGGCTTATTATCAAGGGCCTTGCCACTCGATCTCGAGCCGACCGGTCCGGGGAAGACTATGTGATCGGGATTGCCGTGATACTGCGCGCCGATCTGTCCCAGGACGAATACGCCGCAGACGATCATCGCGAGGACGAGCATCCTCGCGACGACGAGAAGCGGCGGCGACTGGCTGTCAAACGAGGCGCCGTGCCGCGATTGCATTTCTATCCTGACGTGTGTTGGTCTCGCCTTCCGATCTCCTCACTCCTCGACGAGCACAAGGGTCGACGAGTCCGCGTTACGTCGCGTCTTTTAATTATTACTAACGATCACTCTCGGTTTGTTATCGCCGCCGACCGTTCGTTCGTTTCTTTCGCGGCTCGGCCTGTCGAGGTCGAGGCTTTTTTACTCCGCGACACGCGACGATGCACACCTGAGCGTATTCGAGCGCCCGTACCGCGATCGACTGATGAGGCGAACACGTCCCGCGCGCTTACTTCTCGCCTCGCATAGGCGAGCGAGCGAGCGAGCGAGCGAACGCGCGCGCTCACTCGCGCTGCGTATCGTATGAATCGTCGTGCGGCGCAGATAAGCGCGGTATGATTTTTTCGATTGTTCGCGTGTTCGAGTGCTTTTACGTGAAATTGAGGTAAAGAAAGTTCTGCAGTTCCACGAATTGCACTTACGACGTGAAAAACGCGAACGATAAAGAATAATTGTTATAGAAAAGTTTACTGCTTATCGCGCTTATATCGTATAATTTTAGCCGCACCCTGTATCTATTTTTATATACAAATCTTTATCGTAATAATTTTTTTTATAAAATCTCGGAAAAAATACTAAGTTCCATTATTTATTTTTTTGTAAATTGCGGTAGGCACTGCACGTTTATTGTGTAAATCGCATGTTTCAATCTTATCAGAGTAAATGAATGAAAGTATGCAGCCTTGGTCATAAAACAATTGATTGCATTTTCTTAGAAAAGGTGATAATAAAATCCAAAGGAGAATTAACAAAATAAATTTAAAATTATTACAAAAATGATCATTATTTTTTCAATAAAACTGTTTTTTAATTTATTTGTTGTTAGATATAAAGAATATATTTATGTTGATTTATGGGGGTGTAATTTAGTATTTATATGGCTAAAGGCTGTATTATAATTATACATTCTTTCTCTTAAAAAGAAAATGAAATATCATGATACATTTTGATATTGCATTCTTTCGCGAATGAAACTATAGCGCCAGCTTTATAAATGTGTCGATACATCTTACCTTGTTGTAAAACGATCATTGCGGAAGATATCAAGCTATTCGCAAGAGAGTACAGGCCGTAATCTGCCATTACGTCAACTACAATTCAGAATAATTCAGATGTAGTAAGCAAATAATGCTTTCAGTACCGAGCAGCTCGGTGAACAATGTGGGCGTTTACAATTTGCATGTGAAATACACTTATGCTAAGATTAATTTTCATAATGTTACACCTCAAGGTAACGATTGTGACGGGAAATCTTACCTGCCTAATGACGCAGAGCCCAACCAGACGCTTATGTAAAGAATAAATGGGGCGGAAACACATATAAGACACATTTATAAAAGTAAACACGGCACATCGTAATAGCATCGCGATAGAAATCAGCTGATTTTGGCCAATATTGACGAGCGTGGAAATAGACCGAGTTATCGACATAACAGAGCCATCTGTTGGATTACTCGAGACTTCGAATGCGCCCTAATAAGGCCTCCCACCTACAGATGGCGCTAGTAGTCCGCGTTGGCGACCTCGGCGGCCATTGGCCGTGTGTGCGGCATTGGTGGCGTCGGTCGCGACGATCGTTTCAAACGTTACGAGTATCGTGCGCGTTTATTTCTTCTCTACCGCACGCATTTCGACGATTCAACGATATCCTCTACATCGAAACATCCCGTACGTTAAGGGAATTGTCGGAATTGATTCGGAACACCCGGATTTAACCTCACAAGTCGAACAATCGCCTGAAGTTTTCGCCGCGTCGGTGGGCTTCGGTTCGCCGCGCCGGTCAGTCGCCAAACGCGTCGCGTCGCGAATCTGAAACGCGTTCGACGTTTCTCGCGATTATTACTGTATGTTCTATGTACGTATGTACGTACATAGAAAAGTGAATCTCGCGCGGAAGAAACAATTATCGCGAGGCCGATTTTTCGCGGTAGGTTATCGGACGACGTTCGTCGTAACGCGATGGACAATGTCGGTGATCGCGACGCGCGCGGGTCGATGTTTTCTGAATGCTGTGGCGTCGTTTCGAGTTTCAACGATCGCCGATATATATGTTGCTTTTCTATAGACGTAGATTTGAAATTGATTACGGAATCGCAACGTATCGAACAGATCATTTTCACATCGCTCCATGTTTCCGACGATCGTCGACGCGAAAAATGTACGCATCTCACGTGGAAGAAGCAAATAATCGCGAGTGCCTTTCGCAGTATCGGACGGTTTCGTCGTAAGTGGACATGTCGGCAATCGCGGCGCGTGCCGATATCGCGACGCTTTCCGAATGCTGCGCGTCGTTTCCACGGTTCAACGATCGCCTTGTTTTTTCATAAATTTTGAATTCGAGATTGATTACGGAGTCGCAACGCCTCGAACAGATCGTTTTCACATCGCTCCGTATTTCTGACGATCGTCGACGCGTAAAAATGTGTACGCATCTCACGGGGGACAGAAACAATCGCGAGTGTCTTTCGCAACGAACGGTCTACGAGATCGTACGTATATTAAACGTGTGGCCGCTTGCATACGTTTTGGGACTATGGTTGACACCCGTGATGTGCGCCCGTGATCTTCGCCTGGAATTGATTGAGTCTTCCCGTTATTTTTTCACTGGAGTGCCAACGAAAACGCAGCTATCACATCAAGTATGTACATATACTGATATTATACATATACATTTTGTAGTTTTTTATAATTAACTGTATGTACATTTTTCATGTTTTTATTATAAATTTCTGTTTGATTTCTGTTTTAATTAATATTTGAAAAACGATAAGAAATAAATAGCGAATTATGTCTCTTTCTGATTTCGCATTACTTTGCGCATCGATAATATGTTATTGAAAATAATTGTGATATAAAAAATTCAAATACAATTATTTTAATTTTTCGAAACTTCCAGATAATATTAAAATTATTAGAATTATTAGCAATTAATTTTTTTGAAATTAAGAAATTATTTTCTATTTTTAATATTATTAAAAAGAATATTATTTATTATAGTTAAAAATTTTTCGTACCGAGTAAATACATTACATACTGTTTAAATATGAACCGCGTGCTTGTTGATTATTACTATATTATCGATGATCGAGTTCAAGAAATTTTATTTATCTAACACTGCAAACTCTCAACGATTGCGAGTATTTTGCCGGTATCGCGAGATAACTACAGAAGGTAAATTAGAAGAAAATTAAATAAATTTAAAAATATAATTAATAATTAACAATATTATATTGTGTCAAGCTATTTCAGAATGTTAAGCCCACTGCAATCTTATAATTAATATTTCAAAACAAATAATTGAAAAAAATTTTTAAAAAATGCGCGAATATTAATTAAACTATGTTAAAAATATTATAAAATAGTATTTACAATTATTATTAATATGATGAATAATAATACATATTTGCACATTTATTATCATAAATTTTCAGAGATTTGTTTTATTATAATATCGGCAGAGCACAAATAATTGTTGTTAATGTTATAATATAATATTTTTAACATTCGAGATATTTTGTATATAATGTGGCATTTTTTATTTTTTTATTTTTTTTCAAACGGTTTACATTTTTATTATAATTGGTAGAATTATTTTATTCATATAATTTAAAAATAGATTATGATATTAATACACATTTATTGTAAAGGCAACTGATACATTGAAAACATTAGTATTACAATATTTTACATAGAAAACAGTAATATTATTTTATTAAATAATAAAATAATATTACTTAAATAGTAAAATAATGTTTAATATTCCATCTCTTATTGATTATATTACTTATCCAGATATGATGATTATATTTAAATATATGTATATGGGGAAAAAGAATGGATTAATGGAAACATTATCGGAAATTATTTTTTTTGACATTATTATTTATCAGTGATACACACAGAATATTTACGTGGTGCATATTGGTTACAAAAACATATTGAATTTTTGATGGACGATGATTGCCAAATTTTATTAAAGGGATTTCTTCTGCACATATTTCTAAATGATTCGTAGTCAAAAGGTATGATTATATTACGATATAAGAGATAAAAGTATTATCGTTTTCGTTGCTAATATGGCACCTCCGGGAAAATATCCTGCGACTTTGTTTGCACTATTCTATAATCAAGAAAAAAATATTTGATCATTAGAATCGGTTTACTTTAATTTACGCAACATTAATTACAAAATATTTTTTTCTTAAACATTTCTGCTTCTATAGTATGCAAAATATAGGCTATAATTTAAAACAAGAAATAAAAAAATGCATTTGTCATTTCAAAAATGTGGAATATTTACCTTGTGCAACAGAGGAGCATATCTTATGTTAAATAATCTTTTTGCATCCTCCGTTACGAACGGTCCTATAACCCTCCGGACACTTGGGTACCCGATTTCTCGCGGGGAAAGTTAGTGGCAATCCCTCGCACGCAAATACTAACATTATCGACGCGAGAATCAGTAGAATCAAACGGGCGGGTGCCATGATTATTGCAGATGATATTCAATCTCCCGATTACACTTTCTCGAATTTCAAATTAGGTAGAATGAAATCACAAACGGACTGGCGTCAGATTTCTCTCCTTTTTCTTCACGCGTACGCTTGTAACATCAAAATGCTAATAACTGGACTGACTGTTGTAACCATAGCGCAGGTATTTATATAAACAACTTAGGGAAGGCCCATCAGTTGCGGTTTCCTGTCTGATCCTTTCCGTTCCGTCATTGCTAATTAGTACTTAAAATCGTGTTCTGATTACTCGTTGCTTACGCACGAGCGTCTTTCGTAATTTCCGCAGCGTGATAAATTATTAAAAATGCGCGCACGCGTGCATTCGAAATTTTATGCGCACATTACCAAGAAATCGTTTATGACTCAGCGGAGATACGAGTAAAAAATATTTTAGAAAAAAAAAAAATTTTTAGAGGAAAAACTTATACAGATAATTTTAAATGCTTTATTCATTTTATGATATCTTATATGACGGTTTTACATATACATGTGTATCTGTGCATGAATATTTTTATTATTTATCTTACACACGCGCTTTACATGTTTTTTATCTAAAAAATTATGTAAATATTTGTAAACAGGAGTTTATTTGCATATTTAATTAATAATTTTGAATATACTTTTGTGTGTGTACATGTTCAGAAAGAGATATATTTAATTCGATTTATTTTACGGACGATAAAATACTCTATTTGTTCTTTAACATTAAGTATATCGATAAAAATTTAATACTCTATAATATATTCTCTTACTTCGGTTTTAATTATTGCACACTATAATAGAAAATCCTAACCGATTTCTTGCGTTTGTGGGGATAAATATATGTGCGGGAAGATAATTTAGTTCGTAGTCTTTACATCTTAATTGCATTTTGAACGCAATTCATGATTGCCGATTGATTTGATGAACTGTACATTAACTTACATATATCTTACACATATTAATTAGGTACAATTAACTCTTCATAAAGTCGCATTAATTATTTTTGATTAGAATAATATTCTTATTTCTTAATCCTGTTAATCCTCTTGTTTCCTTCCGGGGATGTCTTCTTTCATGGTCAGGAGTGGTTCGACTATCTATAAAGGTTCTGTAACAGAAATCAAGATCTTGTTCATTTCAATCTACGTGGAGTTTTACATACGAGTTTTATACATCTCTCTACAGTCGGAAGTAAGAACTGCGGTGTATGCGGAAATAGAATGGTCGCTATAAATATAAAGAGCTGAGCAATTTATTGCATATTTAAGTTTGACGCGGGTATGAAGGGATCGATACGAGGTGACGATTGTGTGCGCATCTCTGATGGACGGAATAGGCTAGCATAGTTGATGAGTTGTAGCGACTTCCGGCAAAGAAAATCAACTTCAAAGCGTTACACTTCGTCGGAATTATAAGTTTACGTCATGCTACAATCAACCAAACGTAAATGTGAAACGTGCTTGACGTCAATGCATCGTAAGAATCAAGTATTATTAACGGACGTGTATAAAACAAGAATGATCGAATAAACGTACAACGTACACAATTTAATAGCAAATAACGGTTGAATAATTTTTATTTTTTTAAAATAATGTTACATATTATAACAACATTACATATTTTAACCAATGATACATTATTGATTGTATAATATGTAATATTATTTGTAAATATATTATTACTTGTTATTTATTTATAGGATGCGGCGACAATTAATTACGTTTAATTAATTTCGAGATCTTAATGATAGAAAAAATATATCGCTTGTGCCGTTGCAAATGTGCGACGCAACCAATAATTCATGCTTTGCTTGTAAGAAGTTTCTGTTTTATCCTTACCTAAAAGACACTTCGACAACGATTTCCAACTTTGACCTTGTCCGGTGGACATTGTATAGGGACATTAATTATTGATCCAGCTTCGATTTTGTAGTTATCAAAGCGCACGAAACGCTTTTCCTCCCGCGAGACGGTCGTGTCGGTCGCGTACGTGCTCGGCGTCGACAGGATGAAAAATAACGCTATCGCGTACGTTATAGCTAATAAAAGCCTCATAGTTGCGCAGTATACAGAGTGCAATCAACGACTGAAGCCTGTCCAGATCTTGCCTCTCAATAAAACTTATTGTGCGATCACGCGTCGTTCGTTTTCAATGTCTGTTGGGATTAATTTGCGGATTTGCGCACGTTCGTCACGAATAAATTTCCTTGCTGATATTAATCACCTTATCGAGAATTCAAACGTAGTATATATCACTCGAGATGTCTCGCGCAATACGTAATTACGCATAATCTTCTTCACATTTCAAAGAGCCCTCAGGGGATTACCGGTAGGAGATTACATCGAAGTGCGGAAAGTGATTTTATTCTCGAGTAAAATACAACACGGTCACCAATGCGATTAACGACACTTCGTGGCGTACTAAATGCTCGTGTTTCAAAAACACGTGCCACAGAATGATTATCAGCGTCAAACCAAAGTTCGTTAATCACGATGCGTATAGCGTCTCGTTTTTAATTTTATCGGATGGGCGGTGCGTGATCGCGTTGGGACACGAGCGATACGAAACTCAGATTCGGCACGTCTGGACGGCAGACTTGGATCTCGCATTTTCCGTAAGAAAAACCGTGAAGCTCACCGAGCAGCGAATGCGATTGGGCAACTGGCGACGATTGATTTCTATTCCATCACCATCGCCGTCGCCGCCGCCGTCGCCTCCTCGAATCGAACGCAAACAGACCACTCGGAAATGGACGAGCGGGCTAATTAAAATCGACCTTGTACGCAAACCGGCTTAAAAGGCAGCTTTATCTGCGACGCGGAGTATCGCGAAGACGAACAGTCGGGCAGCTTTATCAATCCGGCGTGTCCGGAATTTTTCATTCGATTCGAGATTGCGATACCGAGAACTGCGTGACGAAATCTTGAACTTTACTTATATTAGGCGATTCACCGGCATAAAACTCAGCCTGCTAAAAATACACGCGAGGTTAATAGCCTATATGCGAACGATTCCTAGAACATTGATTCCAAAAATAATAATACACAGCGCGTGTATGTATAATGGGATAAGGTATGCAAAATTACGCATTTATTTCTATCAAATTATTAATTTTCAAAAGAGATGCATTGAAAACTTGTTTTGCTTCATCTATGAGAGTATTCCCGATAACCCTCGGTGGCGCACTTTCGATGATAGTAATATATGTACTATCTTGCTGAGCACGATTATCATGCGTGATAATACACTATTTTTATATTTAAACTTGTTTTTCTCGAGAACTACAGTTAATTTAAAAAAGAAAAGAAAGATTTTGAAATATCTAAATATTTAATTAAGGATCTGAAATTAATTTTATTGTGGACCATCAAAATAATCATGTAAAACGCCCAAACTTGTTAGATTGTCATAGCTTTTTGCAACATATATTGTGTTTGAATACCTACGAAATTATTTTGACAGTCTTACAAAATTATTTTCAAATCTGTATCTAATTAAATTTTTAAATATTTAAAACCGTTCTTTCCGTGTGTATATGTTATACTTTGTTCTGTCACGGCAAATCACATTTTCATTACGATTGGCTGCTTCAACGAAAGCGAAAAATAAATAAATAGAATCTAAAAATAATTAGAATCTACGTGATAAAATATTAGAAATATTGATTCGTGGTAATGTATTTCATATAAATGTACCTTGTGCGTATTATTTGTCGAGTTTCACCACACTGTCCTACACTTGCCACGCCGATCGACTTGCTGACCCGGTGCACAGGAGACTATGTTCCTTCGTGGTACGAATATTATCCTGCCTTCTACCGTGATTTCCGGGGATGCCGTCGACGTAGCGCCGTCATTCTCCTTAGAGTTTGAAACTTGCGAGGTGTTGTTTTGTGGCCGTAGCAATTTGTCGATAGATTTCGCCACGTTCGAGAAGGACCAACACTCGCCGAGGCTCGCGGAGAGGATCACGAGCACGAGAATCGTGTAAAATGTGCGCATCTTTCTCAACTAACATGACTAACAACTCGCACGGTGTTTAAGCCGGCTTAAACACTGACGGACACAGACTTGATAACCCGATGACACTGACGATTTCAAGCGCATTTCTTTCGCCATTCAGAAAAACTTCAGAGTCAGTACTTAGCTCGAATGTTTGGCGTGTTTACCGTAATTGCACGGTGATTTCGTCGCAAAGTTCCGTTGTAGATCGTAATTTGAATGGAAGTCGCGCGTGCCGGTGACGATATGAAAAATATATACTGCTTTTCTAATTCTCGTATATACATCAGAAATTATAAAGCGGAGTGCATATGCACTCTGTTTTGTTTTCGATAACCTTCGGTGTCATTTTTTAAAGTAATAGAATCATCTCTAGAATTTTTACGTAACGCTTACAGAATTATTTTACGTGATTTAAATACATTTATTGTATTTATATTATTGTTATAACTTGTTCTCACAGTTTTACGGTGCAAACCTACAGGAAGATTTTAGCAAAAATCTGTTTGTTACAATATTATAAATGTTATACCTAATAATGCGAATGCAAATACATAGGAGAAATAGAGTACAATTGAAAACGCGATCAAAAGAAAATCAGAACTATGATTTCAAAGAAATTAAATGTACGGACACATTAGCGCAGCAAAATGTTTGTTAAAAATTACATTTTAATAAAATCCAAACTCTTCGTGGAATATAAAGCAAACTGAGATTGTTCGCCAACGTCATGTAGATTACTTTATCAGAGCACATGAGAGCACGTTTTGTGGTCGTTAGAATTTCCATCACGTTCCTCGTTTGACGTATACGAATCATCTATTTAAACGCAGGGATATGTGTATTATTACGTCACTGTGTGCAATTCTTCGCAAGGTCTATGTATACGTCTCCTTGAAATTTTATTTCGTATTTTTCATATAAATCTCGTATATATAATTCTTACTAGCTTTTGGCTTGGTTATATAATTGTTATAAGAAAAAGAACATTTTATTATTTTGCTAAAATTTTATAATTATTATAAATATTGTCTTCTTTCGCGATTAAAAATATTTTAAATAATAAGCTTAATTTAATTTTATAAACTTATATTAATTGATCGATAATATCAGTTTGAATTTCTTGGAAATCTTTTAAATGTGTCAAAATTTACGACTTCTACATATTTACGACTATACGTTTAAACGAGAAATATGATGATATCGTAAGAATATGATGTTATCATGCTATATATCATGCTAATGTATAATCCGCAGATGCTTAAGATTTTATTTCTATCGATCTAAAGCAGTTGGTGGCGCCATCCATTGCTGCAAAGAGAAAGATCAAAATGGATGTAGCATAACGCCGCGTGTGTGGTAATAACTAAAAATTGTATTGCACAATTTTATATCGTAATAGCTCAATGGTACATACAATATTTTAATAAATGTTTTTTACTTTCAAGAAAAAAATTATTAAATTTTATCGAGAAGCAATACCAAAATCGCTGATTTATTAAAATAAATTCTAATCTTGGATCATGTACTTTTTAAATTCATTGTCAAAAAGAAGAAAGATTATCATACGTTACAGTTAAACTTAATCATTTATAATCATATAACTTTACATATTCAGATATCTATACTTTTAAGTCTCAATGATTAAATCCATGTACTATCGGTCTTGTAATTTTCTTTTATAAGTAAAAATTCGGTTATGGAGAGTTAACAACGAAATCGCGCGATAAACGGACTGGAACAGCCCGCTTATCCTTGGCACGCATCCCCGGGTGTCTTTTGAGTCGATCCCGTACTCGATCAACGACAGTTTCTCCCTGCGGGTATGGGCGTCGATAATGCTTTTACGTGCGAATCATGTAGACACGATTTCTCACACGTATACGCATCACTTCCCGTCACGGCTCGTCCCCCCTCCTCCCCCTCCTCAAAACACGAAATTTGACGTGTTCATATTTTTCGCATAATTTCCTCATATTTCGGTCGCGTGTGCAATTTAAGGGCGCGTACATCGAAGAGTATCTTGGACAGGCGCCAGAAACTTTCGTTATAGAATCAAACAGCGCGAGCGTGAAACTCACTCTGTACCGTACTCGTTTTCTACAGTATTTGTCAGATAATACTCTTGAAATCGAAACGGATCTTTGTGGATCCGCTCTGTATTTTGATTGCCGGATGATAAGCGGCGTATGCGTGCCGCGAATTTCCGGCGAAGGAGATCCCAGGGTTTTCTCTTCCACATTCGCGAGATGGGTTCCCACGAGCGAAGTCGAGCACACGGTCTAGAAAGGCAATAACCAAAGATGATTAAGATATAGTCATTTTGCTCCTCGCTTCCCTGCTCTCCGCGGCGGCGATCCGCCGCTTGTCGTGCCGACACGAATGCAAACGCGGCACGGTCGCTACACGTACAATTATTGCTTATTGGTAGCCTCGATTCGGAAACGATAATTCTTTCCCTCTTTCTCGCATTAGAGTCACGGGCCGAACCAGCTGCTCGAAACGCCACGTCGGTGAAAGGATTGCGCTCCGTCGCTTTACATGTGCGACCATTTCGCACGACGAATGAATGTGTGTGTTAGGAAATAACTTTCGAGTATAAAATAAAATAGAATATTTTTCACTGAACTTTAAATCGATAAACTGCGATTTAAACATTTTTCCCCCCGTTATTTTTACGATGAAATAATGCCATAAAATGTGGCAGCATCGTAAAATTCAAAAGATAACAATATTCTATCGATCAAGTATTTATTGATTAAATACTGAGATTTCTAAGAAACCAGTTTCTAATAAAATTATTGAAATAATATGGAATACCTAGTTAGAACTTGAAACCTTCTCGCGCGGTTTGTATGCAAAATAACGGCGTGTATATATCGATCCCTTCCGTTCTAAGTTTGCCTCTCAGCCACGTGATGCGCCGAGTATAGGAACTGCTCCGATCCTAAGCACGGTTAATACCAGGATGACCATTATCGCGAGGGTTTAAAGGGTTGAGAAAGCGGTGTGTTCAGCGATACTCGGTAAACCATCGCGCGATCTGTATACCGGCGAGCAATTTATTCGCGACTTTAATGATACGGGTAGCGACATCCCAGAACATCCTGACACGCTCGACCGACTCGACAAGAAAATTAATGCGCGACGTAATCCAGCCATAATGCCGCAGTGTTAAGCGATATATCGAAACCGCTTTATACGTTCGTCCGAGAGTCTTCATGATCCGTCGCATCAGCGCGACGGCTGTCAATAATAGAATTAGCATCTTTTTTATGGTCTTATTATAAAATAATCAAAGACATTGCATAATTTACCATTATATGATTATTATTTTGCAACATCTTGTATTATTAACATCTTGTTATCTATATGCAGCTAATAGAAAGAGAACAAAGAATATGTTATGTTTAGTGATTATTAAGCAGCGTCTATCAATATCAATCGTATAAATTTTAAAATAGCACGCATTCGCAAGTTTTTGCACGTAACATGTTCTTTGTACGGCGAGGCGCATGATAAGAAAACGGCGAGAGAAAAACACTGCCGAAAACGAGAACGCCTATCACGAATCGATTTTTATAGCGTTGGGAAATTCCGCGTGCCACGGAGTCGCGTGTGCTCGCACACGCGTGCACACGAGGGTCGAGATGGCCGTATGGGAGTTACGGATGGACGGACAGGCGAGGCAAGGGGGCGGGCAGGTAGGATCGATTTAAAAAGTAAATGACTGACGGACTAAGGTCGCCTACCAGGCAATTCCAGTAGCGGGCAATTGCGTGCAAGAAATTACTTGCCAATGTTGAGTGGCACGCAAAGCTCGGAGCGAACGCGAACGCTGAAGGATGGCATGGCGGCGAGGTAACGTCGGCCACCGCCGCCGCCTTCTTCTCTTCTTCTTCTTCTTCGTCGTCTTCGTCTTCCTTCGAACCTCGACGATCCCGTCACCGTGCATGCGAACCTGTCGACCGCGAACGAGCCATACGACTCTTCTCGAATTCGTGCTCGCTTCTTGGACACCGGTCGAATCCTCCGGAGATCGACGTCACGCGGTGTCTAAATCCCGTGCTTCTTCTTAGCGTTTCCCTCGGAACTCGTTGATATAATCGTTCGGTTGCACAGTGGTGCCTAAAAGAGATTTTGCGGGCAAAATGGTCGCGCTTTTTTGTAATCGCTGCAAAAAATTAAGAAAGATTTATAAAAGATACCACTTATATATAATTTGTATTCACATAACGCAAACTTCTATTTCTAGATGTGTAGTATTTTTGTTCTGTTATTTTTAATATTTGAATAATACAAGGAAATAACGCGAAATGCTTTAAGGTTTCTGTTTACTCACCACTATTTATCTCAGAATCTCAGATTGTAAATATTGTTTTATTGAAATATATTTTCATTTTAATATATTTTGGAAGAATTTTTATGGTGTATTTTCTCGTTTTCTGATATCATAATCTAAGATAGTAGTGATGAATAAACGGGAATCTTAATTATTGTCTAGCACACGAAATAATTTAAATTGTTTGAAAATTTCTCAATCTTATTATATGATGATAATTTTAAAATTTCAGGTTTTGTCCGTCTTGACACCACTGTGAGTCATTCCGAAATCGCGCAGCTTATTCCCAGAAGGCAACCAGTTTGTGAGTAGATATTATGTTAATTCGCTAAGTGGGTTTAAATGTATATTTTCAAAACTATTGTCCTTTTCTTCGTGTATCCACTTCGTGTTCTTATTGGCGTTTGAGTTACTCGATTAGAAGCTAGCGGAATTGTGCACCGGTTATCCGGATTCTTACGTCCGCAATGGCGGCGCTCGTACGGTGGCAGACACCTCCCTCGCTACTGTTTCACGGGGATCTGCCTCCGCGTATACTTCTTCACGGTTCGATGAATCTCTCTCCACTCTTCTCGGAACTTTAAAATATTAGTTGCCCTCGGTATTATGACGTCAAGTTTCTCGGTCTCCACTCTGGAATTCGAACGTGTTATATGTTCGGGCGATGGCTTCTCGTGTCAGAAATACGAAACACACGCGACGCGACGCGACGCTAGGATGTGTTGTAACGACCGTGTTTCGCGTTTGTCTCGAATTGTTGCACAATCGACAATTAATAAATTCGTGTTATTTTTCGAGATCAGGCAAACGTGGGACGCGCAAAAATGCGAGGCTGATGATCTCCGCGGATACGCGACGAAGAAAGTTGTTCGGGGCGGGACGACGTCGTAAAATTAGGCGACAGGACGACAGAGGCGTGCGAGACGCAACATTATTCGCAGCCCCATAAAATTAGCCCGATATCGGCCGACAGATAATTCCTCGGTTACGACAAATTTTATGCCGGGGCAATCAGCAACCGCGGGTAGTTTCGCGCCATAAGGCCCCGCCTTGGGAAACGAGGTGTCCGCGCGAAGGTAGCGCGCGGCACCGAAAAGAAAAGTTTTATAACAGTTCTTATCAGGACTTCGGCCCGGCCCCTCGTGCAATTTCGCGCGCGCGAATACATATAACGAACAATGATTTAGGGGGCTTACGGTGCGAAAGTGAAGAAATACTTCCGAAAGCGAAACGCCTCTCATTTTTCAAACAGAGATCGTCTCGTCACTGAAAGGGAGGGGGGAAGAACAAATCCCAAGTGTACTAGTAATCTATGTGTTAATAACAAAAAAGAGCTAGGGATACTCTCGAGCTTTGTCTAAATATTAAAATCGGCCGCCGCATGATTGATTGTATCGCGCATATTGGAAGGAACCGGTCGATCATTAATGGAGTAAGGAGCGGATCGCTCCGATTTGTCCCGGATTCCGATGGGCCATAAACGAGCGGACCGTTCTGTCGTAACAATGTAAAACGTGCGCGCCTCCGACGATCTTCGGAACTGATTCGCGGTGGCGGGGAGAGAAAGAAATGGGCAGAAGAAAGAGGGAGAAAAAAGAAAGAGGGAGAGAGAAAGGACAGCTGCTCGTAACAATTACATCCACATAACACACACGGGTCGGGTTATTCCTTTCCTCGCGTTTAAAACCAGTCGCGAAGTTCACAGCCCGGAGTATTCCCGAAGAATTATGCCGTTGCACCGACACCGACTGATTTTACGACGCGCCGTTGTGCTCGTATCTAGCACGTCGCCGCCTTATTTTACGATGCTTGCCCGTCTTAACGCCTCCTTAGCTCGAAACATCGTCGAGCGTGTCCGAGCGTTTTACGCGCGTTTACACGCGTGCGAGATTCTCTCGTGTATACGAGCCACGCTGAAAGCACACGTGGAGAACGAATGCATCTCGATTACCACTAACACCGTGATTGCCGTGAACGGTTCGGGATTGTGCAAAAAAAGTTGTATGATAATAATAATAATAATATATCAGACTATACAATTTTCGCGTGCAAGGAGCAGAACTGTGGAGAACTGCAAGCGGTATAAACCGATCGGCGAATACGGTAGCTCGGTAAAATATATATTTTATAATCCAAAATATTTGTATTTCACTTTTATACTCATTGTCATATTAGATCAGTGTACTGCTTTAACATACCCCAATACGTATCTATAGCTGAATTCGCTATTAGTGCCATGATAGATCGCGTTCGATTTTATCGCGACAGTTAATTCACTCGCCACTGATGTTAGAATGTTTTCGAGTAAATATAAAATACATTTTTCTCCTCTCGGCTCAGGAACTCCGTCAGAAATGGATATCTCGATTAATCGAAATGTCGCTGCAACCACAGGCGACTTAAACTCATTACGCGTATAAGGAAACCAGATGATCCTGCAGACGCACGGATTAATTCGCGTTTACGCCGATATTAGCTGCCGTAATACGCGTTTGTAGAACGAGTTAAGGTCTCAGCTTGACTGAACAGCAAATTACGCGCAAAATCCGTTACCGCGAAACGCACGTTTCCCGTTAAGAGCAATTAGTGCGGATGACTTTCAACTTTATGAATTACTTTCTGCTACTTGCCGTCTGTTTAGTACGAAAATTTGCATGTTATGAGATAATTAATTCATATCTATATTACGCTACTTAGGCAGGTTGCATCGGTGATAAAAAAATCGATGGTAATAAGAAGATATGTTATCTCGACATAAGTTGCAAATCAACAAGTCGGCTTGTTGAAATTGACTTTTTTGTGCCACTTCTCTGATAAGTAACAAGCATATAATATTACTTTAAAATGTACTTTTCACACCCGACTGCTGTCAACCGAAGCAAAAACGGAGTGAATATGCCTTTCACCGAAATCGGTTATCAAAGATCTCCAATACAATCGCAATATATTTTCTTATTAACTTTTGGCTGTAACCACTTATGGCTGTAACAAAAACTTTTTGTTAAATAAGCTTGGTTTAAAGCTTATAATTATCATTAATATTTCTGTTAATAAATAAAAGAATTTTTAATCAATATGATTTTCTGTATTTATCGAAAGATGTATAGTGTATAATATACATATTTTTTAGATGTACATATTTGCATTAGTATAGTGTAGTAATTATTAAATGATCTTTATAGTCTTTGATCCTACAAAATTGGCGATTCTTCGACACGATTTTTTCTTCCTTGACTCCAGTTTTTGTCATAGTTTTAGATTCGACCCTATTTCTCGCGAATTAACCAGGCAAGCGTGATCGAATTAATAGTGCAGACGGAAAAACAAGCCTGTAAATCTATAATCGAATAACTTGAAAAAAAAAACAAGCAGTATTCAAAAGTAACATCGCGTCTCCTCGTGAAGGATCGCCCTCGTCACTGTTCTCGCTACCGTACGGTATCCTGTATCCGTATCAGAGAGATCTAAAATCGAGCGTTCGGCATAGAATCAAGAGTCTCTCATCTCCCGGGAGAATCCAGGGATGAGCACGTCTCGGGAGGGGAAAGTAATTAAAGAATTAATTAAACGGAGGCTTACTCAGCTAAGTTCAGCCATCGATCAAGGCTAACCATGGCGGGCTCTTGTTTGGCGCTGACAAAAAACACCGCTACCGAAATCATAGGGAGCCCATTGTGCCCGGGACGATCTCCGCGTCGGGCTCCCGAGTGCCCGGGCCGCTCACGGAACGACGGCGCGGCGGGCCCCGCGATCGGCATCGAGGCGAGATCGCGGGGCGGTCAGTGCAGTGGGCTCGTGAGGTGGACGTAGAGAGATGGCAGGAATGCAGCTCGCGTGCTCCATCCCTGTCGGTACAAATTAGAGTAAAAATCATGAAGCAGGATCGTGGCAAATAACTCGCGCAGCGGGAGATCTCTCCGAACGCGGGGGCCAGAGGAGCGAACAATGCCTTCAGCTCTCATCTCCCTTAGCTCGGACTCCGCCGTCTTTTTTCTTCGGGGGGGCCCACTTCTCGTTCTCCTCGTCTGGCTTTCCCCCGCGGTTCACTCTCGATTCAAGTTAGACGCCGTGAAGAGTGACCGGGAGCAGATATCCATATTGAAGCAAAAGAAAAAGTGTAAGTCCAAGTCTCATGCGAGAGTATATCCCGTGCACACAGAAGCGACGTTTCGCTTCCCCCGTATAAATCGACTCTCTACATCCTCGTCTTTCCTCTCATCTCTTTGCCGGTTCGTCGTCACTTCTCATTTTCTTCGGCTCGAGACCTCGTGTCAGAAGGGTGGAATTTAATCAATTATTAGCTTGAAAAGAATAGAGCATAGAAATTAATCTAAAGAAAAGGAAAGTAGGAATGCGTAAAAAAGTAATATTATTTTAAAGAGGGTATATATTGTTTATATAAGAAAATTTACATAAAAATTATTTATACAAAAAAGCACATTACATCGTATTGTGACGCATCATTAGAGTCCATGAAATATTGTGATTGCAATACGAAAATTTTAACAATATTTTTTTCTATGAACTATCAAGGTTATAGAAACAGTTTCTATTTTCTTTGCCAATTGAATGAGATATGAAAGTGTAAATATAACGTGTTAATTTGTGCAATTTATGATAGTTATAACAAGGAGGATTGCAATTTGAAATGAATGATACTATGGATTTTTGAAGAGAATGTCTTATTATATCAATTATTCAATGCAGGCTAACATATAAAATTCTCAATTTATTATAATTTTACGGTCAATAAAATATAGAATGACTGAAAATCATCGGATTAATTCGAACATCTATTTTGAGACTGTGCAAGGAACTTGCGATTAATAGGAATATTTGCAGGAATTAATGACAACAGGTTATTACATCTTTGCCTACAAAGCCTTTTTTTTTAACTCATGTCGAAGAAACGAAGGCCGTGATACGCATACTTTATTACGCTGCACATTCGTGTTTTATTCCGTCAGTTGTAAACAGTTAAAACTTACTGGGCCTTGGTGAACGATCTTTCGAACAAATTAGCCCGGATAACATCACTCGGCCCTGTACCCATTTAAAAGCCTGTTTTCAGTTGACAACCCGCCCATTTTCATCTCGCGTTATTGACAGTTTCGTACCTGCAATGAGTCTTCGACTCACACGATCACGATAATTACGCTTCTTCATCGGTAATTTTCGGGTAACAGTATCGAGTGTGTGAGGAGAATCAGGTTAACCGAAAAAAAGTCCACCTTCCTCGGTCGATTAAGCTAACTTTTTTTTACAAGAATTACATACGTAGCGAACATCAAAATGTCATGATTGGCGATTACAATGTTAAATTTAACTTGAGCAAAAGTTACAAGATAAGAATTCAATTTAGTACAATATTCGCGATTAATATTGCACTTAGTGCCATAATTCTTGACATTAACGAGGATCGTATAATTTTTCAGCGGTTTAATCTACATCTTCTTATTCGCTTGTTTATATTGTATCGCTTTATAATAGAAATCGCTTACTCTCGTTTCATCCGCGCCGAGAAACCGCCGATGTAAATCGTTTCGCTGCGTCTCTCACACAATATCGCGCGTTGCGTCCGCGCGTCTCTCCCCGGATAATTTCTTCCTCCATTCCAAATTATCGTGTCGATGCTCCCGAGAGCCATCGCGCCGTCACGCAACGGCATGTAAATACGCTCATACTCGATCGGAGAAAGAGAGCGAAAGAGAGAGAGAGGAGAGTTACCCTCTCCTGCTTGCCGAGAGTACAAAAGCCGCCAGCGCCCCGGAGAACAAACGGTGCTGGCGAATAAATTGGTCGAGGCGTCCGGGCTGACCGGTAGCACTCGACAGCTTCTCACTTTGGGGCTCGTCCATTTTCGACGGTCTGACGAGCCGAAGCGAAAGCCTGTCGGCCATTAATAATTGTTCGTAATAATGGGGCGGTGGGGAAAGGGCGGAGGGGGCTACACCACCGCGACGCGGGGGAAGGGAGGCTGTATGGAGAGAAGGTGGATAGAAAAAACGACCACGAGACAGGTAACGAGCCTGACCGATTCACGTTGCGTTGTTGTTGCTGCTGCTGCTGCTGCTGCTGCGGTTGCTGCTGCTGCTGCCGTTGCTCTTAGGAGGCGAGAGCGGGAGGCGGCGGTAGCGGTGTCGATCTTACGCAGAGGCCACCCCCGCTGCGTTCCTAATAAACCCACTTGCTAGCGGGATAATGGCTCCACGGTGACTCCACACTTCTGACGAGGGAGCGAGACGAGGCGAGTGATAGAGGGAGAGGGGGAGGGGGAGAAAGAAAGAGAGAGAGAGAGAGAGAGAATAAACGGGTGGCGGCGAAATGGAGAACACCTTCGACATCGAGACGTTGGGCTACCATATCGAGCGGCAAAAAGGAAAGAGTTGATGGTGAGCCGAGCATTAGCAATCGGCTCGGAGTATGCTTTGTAGCGATTGCTTCTTCCGAGAAGCCGTTGCTGCGAGACGGATCGCTTGCTTACGAGGCGTTATACTTCTGACGCGTCCGTTTTATTTCGCGAGGGGGGAGGGGAGGGGGAAGAGAGGAGCGGGCCTTATAGTTGCGCGGAATGGGATGTTAAATGTCACGTCAGTCTACTTACGTTTAAATCGCTGCAACGTAACGACGCGGGTCGTATAAACGGTTAGTTACCCCTGCAGCTACTGCTACTTTTTAGTTGAACGTCTCACATCCTTATATGTATACTCCTTCCTTTATCGGAAATGATCTTATTTCTATACTAAATAATATATCTTAACCGCTCGATACATACAATATAACGATTCGTCGTGGAATCGTACCGATTATTTGCTTGAATAATTCGTTTAAATGCTTCGTCGTTTTATTACCAACCTGCCTTTACAGGTAACAAACGAAAATGTAAATTAATCGTCGTGTATAGTGACCAATAGTGGTCGTAAAGAGTTACATCTCCTGCGAGAAATAGTTAGATCCTATTTGTGATGAGTCAGCGTCCTTATAAATTGACTCACACGTAGCTTGCTCCTTAATAGCCAATTACTTTGTGCCCTCGTATAATTAGGTCTTTTTCCGATCCTTGACTCTCAAAAGCTTTAATCTTCCTCCTATCTCAGGTGATCCCTCGTGCCTTCACAGTCCGCCTGGTAGCAATCTCAAATCGTTAGAACGTACGCGCGATGGCAACCTTTAAAAATAATCTCTGAAATCAGATTTTTAATTAACCCACGAAGATACCGTATTGATATACTGCAGCTATTAAGCATCCACTACATGGTTATCGAATATGTTTTACATAAAAAATATTACTTTATTCTATTGTTTATTTGAAAATTTATTTGTCGTTATTCGTAATGCAATACAGCTTTTTCATAGACAATTTATAAAAGATAGGTACTCCTCTCAGTAACATAAATTTTGATTATGTATTTAACGTGTTTTATGTCTTTGTAACAAATTTCTTAAGTAGTCCATTAGCTGATATATTGTATCCTACTTGAGCGAAGTGTGTTAAAGAAGCTTGAAAATTCGAGTCACGAGCATGATTGCGGTAATCCATGATAGCAATCAGTCAGTTCACGTGGTGTATGTGATAGATCGGATGATCGTTGTGTGTCGTTCTGTATGAGGGATCGCACCGATTTGCATCCCTCGTGTGGGGAATAATGCATAAGGCCGACATTTGAATCTGCTCGAGGTGACGATATCGTCGGATTGTGATCGATTTCACTATTTTCGGGCGCGCAAAGACATGTTATAAAAAGTCAATATTTCGTTTCTAGAATCGTTTTATTTTTCTGATCATTACGTTGGTATATTTTCTTCGTTAGTAAGTTAGTTTGTTAGTTTCATTCGTACAGCAAGATTCGAACGCGCAGGTAGGACGCGGGCTTCTGCTGCATGTATTGCTAGTATTGCTATTATTTTTCAAAACATCGTGACAAGTACTAAGAGTAAACGTTATCACTCCCTACATGCAATTAAAAATTGTCAACCTGCACAACCAATTTCTATATATCAAGTGGACAATCATTTATCCAAGCAGATATTTCGCGCGATGTATTTGTTTGATTGAAAGCGACAGGAGGCGAGAAGTTTTTATATCGTAATAAAATTGTTAAAGTCGATAAACATTTTTTTAATGCTTAAATTCAAATTTCGTGAATTGCATTTTGAATTTTTTATTTTAGATGTAATTCGTCCATTGTTTTTGAATTTAGAGCGCGGAGTACGAATCATTAGATCGATCGTTTAAGTAGATATGTACAGTCGTGATATATGCAAATGTGTGTTAATAATTACTTTAAAATATATGGAGTAGACTATAGTCGACATGAATTTGTTTTGTAGGGTAAACGTTTTTGTAAATGGTAACACATCGGATGTGCGCGGCCTTGATATTTTGTTGATATAACATTGTATTTGTAAAATCGCCGGCCTATCATTCGCGCGTCGAAACTCAAACGGGCAGGTAGTGGCGCGAGCTACTCCACGTACCGCCACGTTATTATCCGCGATAAACGATCGGCAGCATATACGATTAATTAACCTTCGCGATGAACAACTCCTTGTATCGAGGCGATGGTGGAGTAGATATCCAGTGCGATCTGTACATTTGAATTATATAAATCGTCAAGCAATTTAGATAACGGGAGGCTTATGGGTATGCAACTGAATTTTAATTGTGATTTGTCGACTCGTTTGCATTCTCATTAGTTAATAACTCGATTTAATTAATTAGGTCGCGTTGCACAATATGAGATCTTTTGCTGTACAGGCCCGTTGCGTTAATTTACGAGAAGTCGCGAGCGAATTATGACTTGCTGCGGTTCTTTTTCACGCATTTTTTTATTTTTTCATCGTAATGTACAATAAAATGCGCGTACAATTAACCTCAGTAATGCGTTTTAAGTGTCGCGCAATTATCAATCTGTTGAATACGCAATTATAATTATTTGTATTATTTTACAGTGAGTGTTTAAGTGCAATGAAGGAATTCTGAGAGGAGGAGGAGGCCTGGAAGGCATCGGGCAACAGCGGAACAACCATGGAGTGAGTAATTTGTTACTCATTTTATTTGCCATTCATAGAATTAATTGTTTATATAATTATTGTATAAATGCAATAATCATATTCTTTGAAACTATGATTATTATTACTATTATTATTAGTTATTTTTGGCGCTCTATAATTTGAATATATTTGTATTTTACAGATTAAGGTAAACTCCGCTGCTGCGCATCGGTCGGTGAGTGAAATCTTATATAATTACTACTATCGTCCACCCAATATCACTCGAACCCCGTCGCATAAAATTATCTCCAATAAGAATTCAAACGTAAATGCAACCTGGAGGTTGCGCCTGCGCCTACTGTGCTTCATGTATTCGAAATGGGAACATGCTTGCATGTTCCGAGAAAACGGACGGGTTCCATCCGATCACATGAATCATTTATTTGCATCGCGACAAAACGAATTTTCATTCCGTATAGTCATTTACCCGTTTATTCGTTACTCATCAACGCGTTTCCGAGTCGTTTCGGCCGATAAAATGATAATTCGTATGCGATCGACGCGATAACGACGCACCCGGCGCTGTAAGAGAATTAAGAGGTGAGAAACTCTACTAAACTAGATTATCTTAGGGATTTGCGTCGGTGGCAGACTTAATTGATTACAAATTGGTGGATCCGCGCGGTCGCACATTTGCGCCCGGCCTTTCGTATATTTCCCCGAGGAATTTCGTATTCAGGACCTTCCGTTATCTCATCTCCCGTGCGCGCCGCGCGTCGCTTCGGCGCAGCCGTGTTTTTCTGCAGATAAATTAAATCGTCCTTTTTACTTCGAACCTCGTTACATTTTAACCGTTCCCCGTTCGCGCCGCTTCGCCTGGCTTTTTTTTCCTTCCCTCCTTCTCGGCTACTTCATTCGCGCCGTGACATCACGGCACCTTATATGAGCCCCGCATACGTATCCCATTCCCTCTCATTTCTCTCTCTCTCTCTCTCTCTCTCTCTCTCTCTCTCTCTCTTCCTCTGATCCGCTGCCGAACAAATTCTCCGCAATCAATTCTCAGCGCGCTTATCACTCTCAATTCGATATTTTATCGCCACCGAGGCCGAGTGCACAGCCCGAAGTCACTCGGTTCTCATTGCATTCCAGCGAATCGAGCACCAATTCATACGCGCTACGTGATAACGCAATTCGAGCGTATACCCGATGATAACGCAATCATTTGTATGCCAAGCGGCACGATGATAATCGGTCTTATCTCACGACGGGGATAAAAAAAAGGGAGAAGGACTACTTCTCTTCCTCGCATATTTGCGTATTGACTAGGCGTATCCTCGGGCGGGCATCTGATTGATCACAAATACAAAAGATTGGCGGAGCACTGTTAATGCGAGTTTCTCGGTTGCTTTCATATAAACATGCTAATACCTCCGATAATAAGCTAGTGGTTCGATAGCCACTCGTTCTTAGGTGCCTTCGTCACATGTAAACGCGATCGCGCTCGACTATTCCTTTAAGTGAGAGACGACGAAACGTAGCGAGATATTGAGCAGCAAAAGGGAACGAAGAGAAAAAAGGTGCGGGATATGGAGGAGGGGAGGGAAGGGAAAGGGCGATAGTGAGATGACGGAAATAATGGAAGAGACACCGAGAACGTATCGGGATACGACGGAGAGGGATAAGGAGCAGAAAAATCGGCCGAGACGCGGTGAGTAAAGAGGGAAGCGAGAGTGCGGGATGGGCATCGAAAGACAACGAGAGTATATAGGTGACGAGAAAAAGAGGGAAAGAGAGGAACGACGAAGGGAGAACCACGGTCTGACCACGAGACGTTGGTTTATACGCCGATGCATTGGGAGATGCCTGAGTCGGCGGCGATGGTGGTGGAGGCCGACGAACGTGGAAGAGCGAGAAGAGCGAAGGGAAGGAGCTTCGGAACGAGGGAAGGGTTAGTAGCTCTTGTAACGCTATCGACCCTGTCGCTGTACATCACGTCGACACCATCCTAGTCCGCTCATTTCAGATCGCGGGAGTAGTAGGAGTCGGCTTCTGCGCCATTACTTCGGTCGCCGGCCCTACGTGTGCATGCATGCACGCACGCATGCACGCACGCGTGCACACACACACACACACACACTCGCGCGCGCGTGGGGTGCCGTGTGAGCGTGAGCTACGTGATACATGCAGGTTGCACGCGAGCAAAGCGAAGTGGACGAATGAAGGGCGAGGTACGAGACGACGAGAAGCGTGCATTATATCCTGAGAGCGCGCTCCTTCGGAGATGCGATGCCGATTGCGCGAAATAGAACGGTTGCACTCGCGGGTAATATCGGTGAAATTTATGCGGCAGAGCGATATCGCAAAGCTCGTGACGTCTTTTCCGAAGCTTCCAATTGAACTCTCTGGAATCAGTCTACACACCAGAGTGTGAGATTCCGAATGGTCTGAAATAAAATCGGTAGTCTCGACCTCGAGATCGCGAAATATGAGATTTTACGAGCGTCAGCGTCGAAGTGGTCAGGATCATGCATATTCGCAAATCTCCGCGTGATGCACCGTGATGATATCCACGCTGTTATTCTCCGGGAAATATCGATAGATAAACTGTGATGGTACATTATGATAATAGAGAATTTAAGAGGGACATTCTCGTTGACCATATAAAATTAGCATCGAAAACAGAATATCTCTGTTAGACAGAAATTTTCGTCTTTTTTTCAAATTACCGAAGACAGTTTTGACTCTCGTTTCAAAGATACCCCGCGAAATTCTCGACGAAATTGATTTAAATGGACGCCATTTGACAAGCACGTTTGCAGCGAAAGATCGTCGGTAGTAATTTAGATATGCGGCTCGGAGTGGTTCCCGGCGGTGCACCTGCCGTTAGCGCGAATATTTGTGTAGAAATTTATCTCATAGAAAAAGATCTTCGCGATTCCGGAATGCGTGACGGACAATTGGTGCCGTTCGACTCGATGGTTATTTCAGTCGCTCTTCCATTAAGAAATTCGAGAATGCATGATTAATTGCGGAAGTGAAGTTACGTGTGTGCCATTACACCTCTGTGTGTGAAGATTATACGTGCTATAACATTAATATGTCGTTTTAAAAAAAGCTTTGCTATACATTGGCATGCAATATTGGCTATACACAAACCTACGCAAAATCTCACAATCGATGGAAAAAAAAAATTGATTCTGTACATTATTTATTTTTTTTCACGAGAAACTATCTCTCCTGGTCGCGGCTATACACTACGAGATTTACTGGAACCTGCATATAATACGATACATTTATAACTTGCCGTGTACTCGCGCGTTAATTTTCCTTATCTCGCGGAATTATCGTAAGGTATAGCGGCGTTAAGAGAAGCGTCATCCGACCGTGAATTTCTCTCGGCCGAATTCTTATGCTCACAGCTCGTTGAATCGTGATGCACGCGACCACGATCGCCCAATCACTCGTTCTATTTCCCTCTCTTTCGTGCCCAAAAACCTCCGGGAGTCGTTTTCGGGCGATGCCGCGTCGTGCTGGTCCCGACGCCGCGCCGCGCCGCGCCACGCCGGTCGCCGGCATGGGTTAACCCGGCGGAGCGTGAAACGTGCGAGAACGTCTGTTTCTGGTGGGATATCTCCCGACCATTTCCATTTAATTGATCGTCCTGAAACGTTGGCGCGTATATGTGCTCCGTGGATCGAAGGCGATACCGGGACGGCGATTTCAATGGGCACTGGACGAGCCAATTAGCTCCGTCCCAATGCTCAGGTACCCTCTTTCCCCCCGATTCTGTCCTCCTTGCCACAGCTTTATCCCCTTTCTCCACTTTTCTCTCTTTCTCTTTTTTTTTATTCTTCCTTTTACACATCTTTCTGTTAATCTTTCTTCCTGTGTCTCCCTGGTTCGTTTTCTCTCTTCATCGTTCTGCTGGCCTAAGTCCTCGATCTCATCTTCTCTCTCTCTTTCTCTCTCTCTCTCTCTCTCTCTCTCTCCCTCTCGCTCTCTTTCTGTTTCTGCTTCCAAGTCAAACTCCCGGTCTATATGCGACCTGGAAGGCTTCCGGGCTGAAGCGGGACATTACGGGCCCCTCTCTCGCCCTCGGAACACGAGAACACAGAAAACCGGGGTCCTATCTTATCCGCGAAGAAGTTTATAGCCCGGTCGACTCTAATTGGGCGAGAAATCATCGGGCACTCCTTTTCTCCGTCCGCACGCTCAAAAAGACTCTCACTAATTCACGATTTCTCGCGTATTATTACCGGATCGCGCCACCTCTCCTCCTTCTCTTCTTTCGTCTCTCTGTCAAAACCTTTTTCTCCTTCTTCTTTCTTGGATCCTTAGTAACGAGCAAACATCATTCTGAGAGGCTTCGACACTTTCGAGCATATCGGCGCTTAAATTAAGCTGTATGTTTGAATGTTTTTATATAGTGTTGTCGCATTTATATTTCGCGGGAATTTAAAGGAAAGCGAACTTGTGTAGATGAATGATTATTGAGCACGCAATTGATTGTCTCTTGATTATGTATTGCTTATCTAATTATTTCTGCACAAATTTTGAACATGAATGCAATTAAAATAAAAATGTAATTTTTATATAATTTATAAAAACAATTTGCTTATTTAATAAAGTATTTCGTTGCGCAATCTCGCCATTTGTAATAAAAGCCCGCGTATCGGATTACTCTTTCACTTTTGAAAAAATTCAGAGGACTTTTTATCCCGAATAAAAATCTCGAGATAATCATTAACGTGCATAAACTTTTCGTCTTAGTGCGCTTGATGTCAACGCGCGTGATTTCGTCGATTAAGAGAAGACGTTTGCTGTTTGCTCTTTATTGCACGAAACGCGATTCGAGTATTTTCTCACGGATCAGCGCGACAGAAGTGGCTTAACGTAATTTGTATACGGTGAACGAACGACGAGTCGTGTCCGTCAGTAATCCCCTTCATCCTAATTCTCGTTAACGCCCGAGTATCTCAGCTTAAGCAAGCGGGTTGCGCGCGGTTATGCCCTGGCCCCGGTAACGTGCGATTTGAAGTGAGCGAGCGGGCGAGCGCGCGCGATTTAGCGCGCGAAAAGGTGCGCTATCTCAGGCAGGCAATATCTCATTGAGCAAAGGAGGAGGTGACTTTAACGTCGGCTCCCCCTCGCTCCCCTTCCGTGAGCAATCGCGGCTTGAGACGGGGCCGACGTGCCCGCCGAGAGAGTAAGATCGTTAATCTTGCCGCGCGCCGATCGGGCGCAGATAGTAATTGTTACGTTCTGCTTTCCTGTGGCCGACCGTTCGACCGTGTCCGACGAACCTCCTCCAACACCCGAAGACTCCGGCACCGCGTCCCTCTCTCGCGCGTCTTCGCGTTCTATTTCCCACCTCGCTCCTACTCGCTCCTACCACGTGCGTGCACGCGCTCGCTCGCTCGGCTCTTTTCTTCTCTCGTCAGGAGTCGCCGACCGATCCTCACCCACCCGGCAGCATTAACGCCTTCGGCAAGAGTCTGTTGGCACTACAATGCCGCCGATATCCGTTCGCCACTCTTCTGCCGACTGTTTGCGTTGGATCTCTTTAGCGTGTATAGCGTATAGCGACGGCAGGTGAATGGAATCGCGCGTGCGGAAGTTGAATTGACCGATGTTGAAAACTCCGGTTCAGACGAAGGGTAAAGTTAACGACGATCCGTTAAGTCCGTATTAGACTAGATATTGAAGAACACATATTGAAGACTGCGAATGGGAGATTAGAATTTAACCAATCAGAACGGAACGGAATAAAAAATTGAAATTATCTGATTGATCGAATTCCAATCTTCTAATTTGTAATCCTCAATCTCTAATGCACAGTCTAATACGGGCTTAAGAGAAAGTAAAGAGAATTTAAAGAGCGATTAAATAAGCAAAAATTGACATGCAAATTTTTCCCAAATCGTAATTATTTGTTTAGTTACTCAAAATTGGTATTTTATGAAATCACGACGAGCCTTTTCTCTCAATGAAGAAATCGACGCGATCGCTATCTTTTATGCAGGCTCTGATTTCGTTATTGGGCATCCTCCTGTTTCCCTATCCACTTTCGGACGGCTCAAATTACTCGGACGCGCGTGATGGTCGCTCCTACAAAAGCCTCGTATACCACTTGCAGGACTTTGTTACCTCTCGCGGGACCTGTCTTTCGTATCATTCTATCCACGTCGCCGACCAGACTGCCAAAGTCGTTTCATTCATGCGCTAATAGAATCTCGCAGAATCCCCCGTTCAGATCCGACTACCAAAAAGAGATATGCGCGTGAAAAGGTAACGTAGATTCGTCGTGTTAACACCATTAACGAATCTGCTCGTATTACATGCTCTCAGCGTTTTCTCTCTCTCTCTCTCTTTCTTTCTCTCCGATGATCTCTTGTGAGTCGCTGGATCTGTGCGTTTCCTCGTCCTGCCGTGTGCATATTCCTGGCTTGTGAAGCCGAGCATGGGCCATAAATTCGCCGCTCGCGCCGACCGTTGACGCGGGGCCACGATATCCGAAATGTCGCGCGAATCCCAATGTTTTCGTGCTCTCAACGACAACAAGCGATTCCACCCGTGCTCCGTTGGAAGAAAGTGTCGCCCGGTGAAAACCAGTTTCGCGCGCAGATTCCTTATTTGCGAGCCTGACGAAACCGTAGATTCGAGTTAATCGTCGATGAGCCTTCCCTCGTTCGCGCGCTTTTTTCTCCCCTTCCTCTATCCTCGCCTCCGTGCATCCTTCGGATCGACGCGACTCGGATACGCGTCTTTGAGACTGGTCCCAGAATACATATTCGATGGAATGGATCTGTCCCGGCGGTGATCGCGCTGTCAGGTGGAACTGACGTGTTCTTGCAGCGCGAATTTAAGTTCTATCGCATACAGGTATTTTATGAGAATCTCGAAGTGCGCGAAGTACGAATAAACCTTCGCGGCAGATAATGCGTCCGCGGAGCGCGAAAGGAGGGATTGGATTATCTTCGATTTTTGCACAGGAACCTTACCCGGCAAACTTGTGCTACGTTCTATGGAACATTAAGCAGGAGATAATTTTACCTTTCTTGTGCGTGCTCAATTTTTTTTCTCGCCTTTGACAAAACGGCAGTTTAAGTAGGTATACGCGGCTGAATGGTCGTGGAGAATATCCATGATGTCGGTATCCGCGAGCGGTTTAATAAGAGATAAGCAAGGGAAGAGTATTAGACTTGAGGTGCGCGATCCGTAGCGGAATATCTTGTACCGCATTAGAAGATATGCGGAAATGTATTCTACCAAGGATAATTGCCGGGGAGCATAAATCAGAGGGTACCTAGAGTACCTTGCAATATCGATTATTTTACGTATTGATGTCCATAGCAATATCAACGTAAATCGGTAAAGAAAGATGTATAGTTCATAGAGCAAACAGTTATTAACTTCAGATTATTACATGAAGAATGTCTTGCATTTTTTTATATTTTTTATACTTGTATTTAATGTATTATGATTAAAGAAATTTTTAAGAATTAATAACAGTTATAAGAAATTATATTGATTAAAATAATTTTTAAGCACTAATAACAGTTAAGAAATTATATTTTATTATATATAAATTTTTTTTTATTCATTATTCAGATTAGGATTGGAAGGAAATTAATTCAATGAACTAGACGGCAGAATATTTATGTAAATTTATTTCAATATAACATATTTCATTGTGCGGATATTTGATGGCTCGCCAAAAACTGTTTTGTCTGTCGGAGGCTAGTTAGAGGGAAAATTTGGAAGAGAGTTTGCAAGAGAGAATGAGCTGTGACGCCGTGTGTAGATATTTACAAACGGTTTCATTTAAATAAACATATTATTTTAACACAGTTCGTATAGGATTATCTGTGTTTTCTTCCCTTACTTCTATTTCAAGTACCTAGTTAACGCACGTCCCTAAATAAAGATTCGCTAGGACTAGTACCGAATGAGTTCTCGAACAATCTCATTCTTTCTTCACGGTATATATATTTTTTATTCTCTACTCGCACACGAACGGCTCCCCAGGTAGATTTGAGCGATCTAATAGCGCTTTGCTTTTGCCACGCGATATGCATTGGATCACTTATCTAATCAACAATAATAATTACAATGACATTGATGACGTTGCGTTTTAATATTATACAGCTCGCAACACCTATTCGCGATTACAAGAAATCGTCCATGTTCGTGTAATAAGCAGTTTTCCATAGATATTAAAAACTTCAACCAATAGAGAGAAGAGCCGCGCCCGACAATAATGAGAAGAGAGAAAATACTAGATGCACACGCGCGGTGCCGCATCTGACACTACGCGCCGATTAATCGTCCACTCGAGTCAGCTGCCGATGCAGCAAGTTATAGTCGATTTATCACTCGATCACTCGCGTGTAAACTGAACGGCATTGATAATTTTTAACGATATTTACTGATAAAATAAAATCTGACATTTTTCGATTTACTATACTTTGTGCACCGTAAAGAAAAAAAAAACATGGCTCACTAGCGTTTTTGTTATTAAATTTGACCAAAAAAAACATTTTATCACTTTTACACTTATCGTTCACCAATAGATATAAAGAACTGACGCGACGGTGCATTTTGAACATTGGTAGTTGCTGATCCATGTGATTTGTCCAATAAATATTTTTCAATAAATAAAAGCTGCAAGGCGGCCGCTCGATTTTTTTGCGAAAACATCACTCCGAGCACTAGTGTGTCGCTCGAAATCAAACTGAGATATTACGTCTCGTTCAACGATCGTGCTTCGTCAGTTCCAAGGGTTGTTGGTCAGTCCAATGATCTCTCCAAGCGACCGGTGGCGACGACGGTACATCCTGATCGGAATCCTGAACGTCAATTTCCTCGTCTTCGTCCTCATTCTGATCGTAGCGTATCCTGTGCGCCGAACTCGGTCGTGGACCAAGACCGGATCCCTGTCGCTGATCGTACGCTGGACTGGTTGGTCTCGAGAGTCCGGAATCTTCGCCCACCAGTTGACTAATCATTCGGAAGGCGCTAGGTTTCCTTTCCGGTTGCTTCGGTATCGAGTCATGCCTGTCGATCCTGTCGGGTCGGTCGAGGCCGGCGTCCCTGGCCGCGGAATTAGCGACGACAGCGCGAAACGCGCTACTTTCGCCGCCCATGCCGGCGATGGAGCAGCTGGATGTACGCTGGCCGATTTCCATAGCGGACGTAGCGGAGTGCGGTTGCTGCTGCGGCGGCGGCTGCGGCTGCGGCGGTGGTGGTGGTGGTGGCGGTGGCGGCGAGCGCTTTAAGAGGTTCATGCGCTGGTGACGACGCCACTTTGCCCGTCTGTTGGAAAACCAAACCTAAGAGTCACGAGTTAGGTCGTTAGAACGCTCGTGAACAAGTCGGAAACAGGAACGACGCGGCCGTTGTCCCGCAGGGCCTTCTCCAATTTACAAATGTCGAATTAGACCCTGCGTCGTCGCGTCGGCTCTTTTATCTTTATCTATTGGTAGATCCTCACCTGAACGCGGGCTTCCGAGAGCGACGTTTTCGAGGCGAGACGTTCGCGTGTTGACACGCACGGGTAATGCGATCTCTCGAATTCCTTTTCGAGTTCTTCAAGCTGCTCCGGACTGAAAGTCGTGCGGTTGCGCCGGAACTTGGGCTGCTCCGAACCGTCTAAGCTTCCGTCATCTCCGTCGCCGTCTGTACATTAATAGAAATACGTTTTCTATGGGCTGTGTGTTGCATTTTTAAATACAACAACCCAATAATAAAAGCCTCCTGTTATATTGTCAAATTAATTAAAAAACTAAAGAGAATATTAATATTTGTGTACTTCTATATGAGTGACACGAAATTCCGATTTTTCTACAAGAAATATGAAATAATATATTTTGGAAGATTAGTATACAGATTTTCAAAATTATAGAATGGCGACTACGGTGCTATTTGTTCAACGTATGAGTACCAATAGCCGTAAATATTTAGCAAGAAACTACACAAATATTAAGTTTCATCCAAATGTGAAAAGTTAAATCGTAAAAAATTTAAACTCTTTCTCTCACTCTCGCTCTTAGCTCTCATTCTTCGTTTACGTCTTAATGATTATGTACAAATCTACAAATTAAATTTTGGGATTTAATTTATTTGAACGAATCAATTTAGTCTGTTGGAAGAAACTGCAGAATAATTTTATAGAACCAGGTAAAGGATATTTTCTCGTAAGATGAATTTCGCGTCGCGACATCGAAGGACGATTTCTCTTTCGTTACCTTGCAAATATCCACGAGCGAGCGCGTCAGCGGCGTGAAGCGCGTGCTCGGAAGTGCCCGCGGCGGACGCGGATGCAGCCGCGGCCGCCGCCGCGGCCGCACCGGGACTCAGGGACGGTGGCAAAAGCAAAGCGGACGCGCCGGATATACCAGTGGCGAGAGGCGGCAGCATCCACGGGTGTCCGGCTGCTCCCGGCGCTGGCCAGCCCGCCGGCAGATGATGGCTTGTCGTCGGATGTTGATGCGAATTGAAGTATGGATGCGGTCCGGCGGCCGCGTACAGGCCGTAGCCGGCGGCACGCGCGAATTCCGCGGCCGCGCGTTCCGCCGCGCGGTTCCGCAGTATCCGATTGATGCTGCTGACCGACGGCGCCGTCGCGTTACTGCATACCCCTTGAACAGGCGAATACCGATGTTGCGGTCAACCCGAGTCGCGAAGGTACCGTGAGGTACATTAGCACGTAGCACGAATACGACAAAGATTTCAATACGAACGTGCAATTATTCACAACAACTCTGTTATTGTTAAGGGCTGCGTTGAAAAAGAGCCGTTCAGTGAAAGTTCAGTAATTCTTTACGATTGATTTGTTATTTAGATCCAGCAAAGAACTAAAGGTAATTCATATAGAACATTCTAAAAATACTGCAGCAACGTTGCAATATTACAATATTGTTGCAGGAATAATAACATTGATTTTTGTGTTATAAGGGAAGAACCTGCAATCATGTTAAAAAAATTACTAAGCGCTCATTGAATTACTTTGTTTGCTGAACGTAGCCAATGCTATAAGCCATAACTTTTGACGCTGTCGAATGACAGCCCATAGAAAATTTTTTAAGTGACAGCGTTCCGTTGCAGCAAAAAACATATCGAAGTTTACTGATTATAATATGATATTCGTGTTAGCATGAATGCTTCGAGAATGGTATGTGTGTCAAGAAGTAAGGTCGCAGAAAACGCGTTTCTTAATTCTTTCGTTAAATTATACGTTACTCATACGTGCGTCTCTGTAATCACGAACGGTTTGCATTCGCATGGCTTACAGAGGACGAGCATAATTAAGTAAGGAACACGCTAGTTTATGCATCGCGCTAGCGAAGACTCGACGTTATGACTAAGCGTTCTAAGATATACTTACTGCAAAAAAATCTTAATCAGTGTCAATGTTAGTCAAGTCGATCAATCTTTCGAAACGCTTACGCTTCGTAATTATTACGTTATCGTATTTGCTCTTCCCGTAAAATAAAATAATCGATTTGCCAGCTATTATCTTCCTTTTCGCAGGTAATTTTTAAATGCGATACGGCTCATAAATTTATTTCAATTTAATCTGAAGACATACGGTGTTCGTCCTTCCGATAAATGTCGATCCGGCATTATTATCTTACCTTCGGAGATTAGCCTCTCCCGAATTTCCCAGGCGAAGATAGTCGGGTTCTCCCTTTTATATTGCTCGATCTTAGCGACGACAGCCGGTGTCGCTACTTTCGGCTTGCTGCCACCGATCAGACCCGGCGGGCGCAACGTACCTGAAACACGATAAACCGGGGGCTTCAAGGACGCGATGCATTGGCAAAACTCCTGGCTTCCTCGATAAAATCGCTCGTAAATGACGCCGCGGCATGGCACATTTATATTTTGCGCCCCTATTCGGCAGCTCGGTCACGCCAAAACTCGCGAAGCTCGCCGTAATTCCCGAAAATCACGCGATGCACGCGCCTCGAAATCCGAAATGTATCTTTCACAGGCGTGATTGATGTGAAAAGAGTGATAATTGTAATATTATACATTGTAATTGAATGGTATATTAGATGTAATTTGTGTGTGTTCCATTCAGTCGAAATAAACATTCGATCGCCTTGAATATTGTGCCGTATAAGTTATATACAATTGGGAATTTCTCAGCCTTTTAAGGTGAATATAGGGAACATTTTGATGAATATGGCAAATGTAAGAACGAGAAAAAATAACAAATGACAACATATAATATTACAAAAGTCACGGCAATATCGCTTAACATCGCGTGCTACCGACAAACGGATATTAATCCTATCTTCGTATCTGGGCGGACTCATAATGCGGCAATTAGGACAGCATGAGGATGCTTACGTAATATGCATCGCAATATAAGAAAATTATCTACACACGTGTAACCACTGCGCGTTAGCTTGTGATAATTTTTAGCGTCATTATCGCGCGCCAAGTGTCTGCTTAAGAATTAAATCGTATGCTTAGATCAGTAAGGCCTGGTACCATTTATGAAAATTATCAAAGGTTACCGAATATTCTTTTTTTCTCTTTCTCTCTCTCTCTCTCTCTCTTTCTCTTTGCTCCTTCTTTTCTTGCCTTCTCTCCTTCTCTTTGCTCTTTCTTTTCTTGCCTTCTCTCCTTCTTAGAGATATGGGGACATATATTTTATTAAGATATTAAAATAAATGTTAAAATATCGGTCATAGATAAGAATATATGTATTTTAAGACCACCGTTTAGATATACCGCTGTCATATATTCCATAGAAACCAAACTTATAATTTGCTACTCGTGGGAAAGACAATGAGCGACGCAGCAGTCAATTAGTCATGAATTAATTAGTACCCACAAGTGAATGCTATTGTAAGACGCGCACAGCTCGTAAGCATATTATAAGTACGATAAGGCTATGCATATCATCGATTGCATGTTGTTGATACCGTAAAAAGACGAACGAAAGAGGTAGTATACGTTCTGATCAACCCAATTTTAATGCATTAGGTTATAGTATTATGAAACGTTTCGTACAAAAAATCTATATAGTTTAAAAGTAAATTAAATATTTCTGCAGTTAAAATAATTTATTATCGTTGTCATTGTATACACTGAGATACGATATATACGTTAATTGTATACGATAACTTCATTAAAACCGTGTACAATGACGATTGGATTACGATTTGGATAGATTGCAATCGCAATTGTGCATTATATTATAAAATTCATCTTTCTTTGTCAAATGCGTCACGCTGTTACTAATGATATGTACCCAAAGCTGTATACGTTGCGCTTAAGGCACGCCGCGTATCCGCTGTTTTTGCCCCGTTTCTCGCGAGCGACACGGTAGAAGCGAAGAAACGAGAGTCACGCTCGCGTGCTAATATCAACGTCAACTATCAGGCGTAAGGGGTCCCATCGGGAGACTCGCCTTCCGACCCCAATTACGCGCGGATTCATCGGTGGAAGGACGGTGGACGCGTCACTCGTACGTGCATGCATCATCCGTCATTCGCGTTCTGTCGCGGTTTTCTTAAAGACCAGCGTCTTCGGGAGGGAGGAAGGGTGGGAGGGGGAGCGAGGTATCCGTCAATCCTCCGCGGTGGACGATGCCGGGAGATCGTGAGGTAATGGAAACCAGAGGCGCAGGCAGACTTGAGCAATTATCGGTCGTTACGTACTATTATTAATAACAATAATGACGGCTAAACTCGGCAGAGGGTATCGCGTGCGCTCCCACGGATGAAGTGCGTGCCGGGTATATAAACGATGTATCCACCTAATAGGTATCCATGCCGCGAGCAAATTCCTTGCCTCGACCTGCTATCCCCTGGGTCTTTCTCTCTTTCTCCCCGTCCCTTCCTCTCTTCGTCCTTTAGCTTCTCATCTCTGTCTTTCCGTCCCTGTATCTATCTTTCCCCGCCTCATCTCTCCCTGCCGATCTCTTCCCATCCTGGCCACCGTTTTTCATTGTTGCTCGTTCGACTTGCTCCTCTCTCGGTTTACCTCCTGTGTGCACGTGTGTGCGCGCCTACGTGCGTGCGTACATAAAATTTTTGAGCGGTGCGCCGTTTTTAATAAAAGAAACCGCACGAAGCCAATTTCGTTAGCCGGTTAGGGTTACTCGCGAGCAACAGTGGATGGATGTCAGTCGCTGCCGTGGTTACAAGCCGTCGTTACGAGCCGAAGGAGAAGGCTGCATTCAATGCGCGTCGCATGCGTGCGCTCGCGGGCGAGGTGATCTCTTTTATAAATTGATAATGCGAGATTAGCGTGATTACACGGGCGGGGCGTGTATGAAGAGCATCGCAATAGAAACTACGAGCAAACAACCGGAACGCCTTCGGCATTGTCCACTCGATTGCTGTCCAGTTACCCTAACGACCGCAATAGTGACGTGTTAAGCTTATAATGCAGCATATGCTTTTGAAATTTTGGCCATTTATCCCGTAGTCTCTCAATCCACCCCTTTGAACCGATCTTCTGTAATCGATATAGCGAAGAGAGTCAAAGCCGCAACCTCTGAAGACACGAAAATCGATATAATCGAATCGTATTTTTAGCTCATGAATATGAATGAACGAGATACCGCGATGTAATTTATATCTGTTCCCGGCGACGAAGTGACCAGATATCGCGTAACGCCACTTGTCTCCTCGACTCGCGTATCAACGTGAAGCGGGGCCGCTCGCTCGCGCCGAAGGGATTAATTGTTCGCCGTCGTTAAGTAATTGGTCGGCCGATTATGGTACATTATATTCACCTCGGACGCCTAAGGAGTCCGTATCCAGCGAGATGAAGACATTATCGGCGCGCCGCGCGAGAGAGCAGGCCACGAACGGTATTTTTACGAGCGGCTCGTAAAGTTAACGAGGACCGCGAGGTAGGCAGAGGCAGGTCTACGAGAAAGAGAGAAACTCCGGCGTTCCACTCGGCGATGCTCGGTGGCTCGCCTCCATTTTTTATTGTTCGCCTCTCTCGGCGCGCGGATCCTTCTTCCTCCTCCTCCTCCTTCTTTTGCCTCTCTTCTTCGTCTTTCTGGCCTTTCCTCGAACGCCCGATCCGAGCTTCCGTCCGCTCGTATGGATACGTCCGACGATTCCCAATCTCCTTCGGGGTCTAAATTTCCGCGAGTTTCACCGCGTTTCTCGCGTGCAAGATCGCACTCGCGTGCCCATCATCTCGGCGAAAGCGCCCCGATTTGCATTAACTCGCGAAATATGGCGGTCGAAGGTACAAGACACGAAGAGCAGCACAGGTAGTCGCAAAAAACACAAATGTCAGCATAAAAACTCAGGATGTGATTTCTTGAGTGTTTAGCCTTTTTGAGATATATTTATGTTGTAAAGTAAATGATATAAATCTTTATTGAATTATAAAGGAAATGATAAAGAAGAATTTTTATTGAAGCTAATGTAATTTGTGTGATAACCAAAAATGTATATAACTACGGGGAATAAAATTTCAAATTTAACATTTAATATTTGAATTAAAGAGGAGCGAGAATCGAAACTTGGCATTAATCCGTTGGAATGTAGAGAGGCTAATGACTGGCGCGATCATTGACGAATTATTCAAGCTTGTTGCCAAGGTGCTGAAATTTAATGTGTGAAAGAAGTGGTTATTACGTGTTAATTTTGGCAAGCTAACGAGCTTCGAGTGGCCAATGCGCTTTTCATGACGCTCGTTATGTCTGACCATGCGCCGCGAGTTTGGCGCTATCCCCTGTTCTTTGCCTTGCTTGAAATCGCTCGAGATATTAACGCGGTATCGTTTGAGGTCGCCGCAGTAACTGCCGCGTGAATCGCAGTGAAAAAGTACAATCGAGAATTATGCAAATTTCAAATTTACAAAAGAGAGGATGAAGAGAAGCGAGAGAACCATTAAAAAAATAAGAAAAATTTAAATAAAATTATTAATTTGTCTTTGTTTTAAAAAATAGATTAAAAGAACTTTTTGTTTAGATAAGAAAGACATTTGTCAGTATTATTTTTTCTCATGAATAGGAATTATTTCAAAACTTTATTTGACAAATACGACAAAAGTCTTATATATATCAATTTACCTAATAGTTCTCGACTTTGAAAAATCTTCCCTCATGCGTTTCCAACATCTATTTTTCTCCCATTTCCAGAGGATCGATGTTATTCTTGGAAACGTAGAATATAAATGGATGATTTCTGCCTTGACTTCTCGTATCGAAATTACGTACGTACGTAATGCGTGCGTGGCGCTCGATACTCGCGATAGGCATATAGTGGTTGACGAACATAATAGCGATATGTCAACGGAGTAGTTTCCCTACGAGTAGGTTCTCGTATTCGGAATGTCACCCAATAATTTGCATATTCTTATCGTCAACGATAAGAAACAACGTGGGGCATAATATCGAGCGTATAAATATCGCAAATGCGATTCTCCTCGCTCTAAGGCAGCGAATCGCGGTATATAAATCGTAAAAATACACTTTACACAAACCTAAAAGTTTCGTAACGACTGCGCCCTGTTGGTTTAATGACAGCACGTGGTTGGCGAGGTCGTTGTAATGCCTGAGTGCTCCTAATCCATGTGACAATTCGATTAGACGTTGCCGCGATGCGTTGCCGTTATTGCCGCTGGCGAACGGACCGGCCGTGCAATTTTGTAAATTCACACCTGCAATCAGAGAAACATGTCGTTGTAATACGTATAATAATGAAATTATCGCATACCGAATAACTAATGATAATTGCCAGGATGAAATCTCGGTCTGTCTTCATCATAATTTTATCACATTTTCGCATTCTTAGATTATTTCTCCAAATTATTTTTGTGAAATTGGTTAACGAGAATCGAGAGATGATTTTACGGGTCTGAGATAATCGGGAATCTTTTCTCACAAGGATCTTTTTTTTAGGATCCCCGAAGTGAATTGAATGCTTCGTTAAATTAACAATCGCCTGCGTAATCGCTGTGACGAAAGTGGTCACGGTCAAATAACTTCACGTTCAGGCGCATTAATTTAAGTTGCTGAACGTGATCTCGCGATCCCGTTATTGATATGGTCTTAAAGAATGTTGGAAAGCGCAGTCAAGAGATACCTGTCATTCAAATTATGGCTAATAATTAATTTATATTCATACTCGCATTGATATTATCCTCGTACAGCATTTACATTTTTTATTGGAATATAATGTATCGTATTACAAGAACTTTGGTTTCAGGTGTTTATCAATTTTATTTTCCGTCTTCGATGGTTATCGTTGCTTTTAGATGGCCATCAACATGCCAATCAATGTTGTGGAATTAGCAGAAGTTAATTGATTTCCAAGCAAATTCAGATTTTAATAAGAAATTATCCTTTATCGTTTATTTAATAAACTTGACGCTATAATATACGACGACAATCAATCAGTATGTATATGTGTTTGTTGGTTTTATATGATACGTTAAAGGAAGATGCAAAATTGGTTTATTATACGCTCGTATAAAATGTAGCTATGGAAGCAACTAAATCGTCACGTGCGAAGAATTTTTTTGGAAAGAATGCGCGTGGATTGAGTTTTCCTCGTTGATTTATAGCTGAATCTTCATGACATTTCGAACAGAGAGTTAACGATTTACGATAACGGACACATGACGCTATTAAGAATCGTTTATTGACTCGCAATCCGAAGACAATCGTTCAATTTCGAGCATTTGGTAAAACAAATTCGTCGTACGTACTGTGATTATTATGCTAAGTGGAAGATTGACTCGTAGAAAATAATTTTAAAGGAGAGAAAACGTAATTACACAGCGTATCATGCAATAAAATCGCGACGGGACGAAACGGAGGCTCAAGTGTAAATCGACGCGAGCTTAAGGATAATATGAATTAAATGTGAGATAGATGTTAATTACCGTGCCGGCGGAGTGCGATCAAAATTACGATGTGCTTATTATAGGTTCAGTTTCCTCGTAACCGCACTGTCGACTAATCTTAATAACGTTTAGCGCGGATCGCGCAGATGCCAATTTACGATCGAGCGATATATCGCAATATTAAGAGCGGGCAGTATCAGCCTGTCATTTTGCAAACGACGTGCGCGCGCAATTGCTTTTTATCCAGTCGATCTTACATAAAGAGCCCGGCGATCGACCGGGGAGAGAACTGTCGCCGGGCGAAATTAAATCCCGAGTGTTGGCAGAAAACAGGTCCGTCGTGCCCATTTGTATCGCGTTGTTTTAATTGGTTTCAACCAGTGAGAACTCAGCGTGAATTCGCGGCAGTTCGTTTACATAGTGAGAACGTTTAATTAATTAGTCCTTTATGAGCGAAATGGATCGCTAATCAGCTCGGTGAATGCATCTTATGCGGATCATTTGCAATTTGTTATCCCGCGTAATCGAACGACCGCTTTTGCACAATTTATGACGTCAATGTAGCTAATTACTAATGGCTCCTCATCAGGAATACGATTAATCAGAAGTTAACTGTAATCTAGAAGGAAAAAAATTAACGCAATACTTTTTGGATTAATTTATTTTAACATTATTGAATGTTTTTTATAATGATCTTATTGTAATTTGTTTTTTATTGTACTTTACATTGATATATGACGTTATGACAAATGCATTTTATATATTCTTCGCTTTTACTACTTAAAAAATTTTTTTACTTATTGTTTAAAAATGTTATCGCAACATATTTGAAAAAAAGATTATAGGTATGTATATTAAGTATATTAAGTATATATGTATATTAAGAGTATAGATTAAAATGTTAGAGAAATAAAGTTAAACATCCGGTGATCTTGAGATCATATATCAATGATCAAAAGTCGTGCCGATCGTGTAGATTTGTAGACGTCATGATTAATTTTGATGCATATCTGGACGCGCAAAATTCGCAAGTGTCCTGTTCATTCATTTTATATTTACTTGGCAATTTTATTTACTTGATTAAGCACGATTTTGTTAAGTATTTAAGACATTAAAGAAGCAATATAAATTATATTGAAACGTTAAAAAGACAATAAAATATTAAAATAATATACTATACTTAAATTCGCGACACACCGAAATCAGCTTGGCTGCAGTTAGGTATTAATTAAGAAAAAAAAACGCGTTGTCAGTTACATTCGCGTAAAATTCTCGTGGAATTTGTTGCAAAATTGAAGTTATGCCAAAGTTATTTTCCGAGGAATCTCGTTCGCGACGGCTGCTCGAAATCGACGGTTGCGTCGAATAAAACTTATGCGAATCCCGCGAGTGTCCCGCGTCCGTCCCGTCGCGTCTGGATGGCACATCGGGCGCGCATTCCGCGCTCGTTTCGTGTCAAAGCGATCGGAGGTGTCGTGAAAACGAAAGTAGCCGATGCACAGAAAGAAATGCGTCCCATCGTCGTTGCATCGACACCAGGCGGGAACCGGTTCTGAACGAGTTCTGGCATCAGAGGCCGATCGCGGTATATTCGAAATCACCATACATTCGAAATCACCGCCGGTAAAGACCGATCGCTTGACACGGCGATAATAGATAATAAGCGGAAAAATTGGAAAGCTGATTCTCTTTCTGCGGGGACTCGGTCGAGATCGTTCGCTCCGCGCTCCCGATGAGTAGGGTTTTATCTGAACCATGTCCGCAGACGCGGTCTCAAGTAAAACCGTGTTTGCTGACGAGTGGTGCGCGAATCAGGCTAACTCTTAAATGCAGACTGCTCGTTTGTGACACGCACACGCATAAAGATAAAACGCAACACATTGAAGTCATTCAAAAAGAATGTTACGAAACGAATGCGTGCAGATGTGAAGTTCATATATATGTATGGTAGCGTGGCGGTTCCATCGCCACAACCCGCAGAATGTTCAAAAGAGTGAAGATATAAAAACCGTGTTAGGGGCTGCGCAGAATAGGAAAGAAAAGGAATAGGGAACAGAGAAGCAATCGAATATAAAGTCTGACATGATATAATGACATAACTATATTTATATGTAGTTACTTTGAAGATATTTATCTTTATAATAATTTTAATCGAATAGGAGTGATTTTTTTTCTAATGCGGAAATAAAATTCAAATTAAACACAGGTAGCTGCGTTTACACTCGAGAGTAGCGCCTCATAAAAAAGTAATTTTATATTAGATCAGATTATAATTTCTACAGAGATCGTGTTAAGAGCAAATTATACATGTATAGTTGATCATTGATATATATAGCTGCAAGCAAGCATTTTACGTAATAACTCGATGATTAGTGGAATCCGTGACGAGATAGTATACCCAAGAAGGAATTGAGAGGATTCATTTGCAAATGACGATATTTCAATCCATATTTCTTGGCACTTATCGCAAATATATTCTAGAAGGTAATCATAAAATCTCGAAGAGTGGAAACTGTGTTACGCGTCACCGCGATAGTGCCTAATTGCTCATAAATTTTATTCACGGCATCATGCATCATTGATCTATATATTTGCATTTTACATCAAGCGATGTCATATCCCAAATTGAACGTTATCACAGGCTGATATACATTGATGATATAATTGGTGAAAAACTTGTTAGCATTGAACGTGCAATGAGAAAAGCGAGCCGTTCTTTATATCTTCTAACTAATGGATTAGCGCGTTATTGCGATTAAAAATGACAATAAATGTGGATTGTGTAAATTGCGATTGTAAATTTAGATTGACTTAGAGAAGTATCGACGAACATGAAGTTTAACGTCGAAGGGTGGATACTGCGAAAAAAGGATTGCATTTCTCAAGCGAAATTGTAACCTGGCAGTCAGCAAGTAGTATATTCAACGCGTAATTAGTGCATATATCTTCGCGGACATTTTCGACGATTGGTCATCAAAAGTGTAACAAAGTGCCGCGCGAAGACAGCTATTAGCCGCGAGGTGTACCTGTTTCAAAACACTCTGGGTGCGGTCGTAAAATCCTGCGGCATCCCGTGCGCTGCCAAGTATCGAGCTCGGCATCGGAAACAACGAGGCGAACTCGTATCGAGTCTTAAACTGGATTAGTGCTTTCCGCACGCAAACCACAAGCAGGAGCTTTGTCTGGAACGTCAAACTATCGAATTTATTCGCAGATTTGAATTTGCGAACAATATCATTAGATGATAATTTAAGAGAATCAATTTAAATATATAATCCGATATTTAAACAAAAAAAAATTGTACGTACTTAACACATGGTAAGATTTTATGAAGGGAAAGTATTCGCGAATTTATTTTTAAATGCTACATTGTCGAGAAAAGGAATGTTGCACTTTCAACGCAAATCATCGATCAAATCATCAGATATATATGTATAACTTCATAATTAGTATATATCTTTCATATACGACAGTTTGTATGGCCATGTCCCAAATGTGCTACCAGAGCACCTGGAAACACATCTCCTCTTATCCTTTTCTCTCTTTCTCTCTCTTCCTTTTTGCTCGCTCGTGAACGAAGACGTTCATCGCCTACATGGTATCTGCCTCGAAACGGTCTGGGTGTGGTCATAAAATCTCGTGGGTTCTGGAACGAAGTGCCCCGCGTAACGCGAACGCGAGAGAATCGAGAGTACCCGCGGGATGGACGGGTATTGAGCGTTAAACGAGAGTAATACACGTTCTCCGATCCGAAGAGGAGTACGCAAGTATGCGTTGCCAACGCATTGAAACCGGTTCCGAACGAGTGCGGTACTTGGTAGCCCCCGTGCTCCGTCTGGCAAGTGCGAATCGCGGAAAGATCCGCGGTAGTTGGACATGTCGTCGTAGGCGCGTATCCGCTGCTCCCAATCGCGTGCGCTCCCTTTTATTCTCTTATCAATGGTCTCGCGACCGAACTGCTCGCCAAGGCGAGAGCGGTCAGAGAGCATTTCACGCTGCATCAGACATTCGTGTTGTATGCGAAGAGCAAACACGGAGTTCGTCACATTACACTCGTGTGAAATAACACAGGCTGTGGCCAGTCTCTGTTGTACAATCGCGATTCTGTTTCCCTCGTTTTTTTGACAACTTAATTAAAGACTGAAAAGAGACGACGCTGATAACAAGCTCTAAGCATCGACAATCAAGAATGTGTTGCGTTTTTTAGGGTATGAAAAATTTTGTGTTTCGATCATATTCACACGGTAAAAGTGGTGTAGAATGTAAATTGTTATAATATTTGGAAACTAATCAAAATTTTGCAAACTGATTTATTTAATATACATTTTTATATGTATAATAATTAATATTGTGACAATTCAGAATCTGTAAAGCAGGAATTATCTCAAGTATCTCTGTTTCCGATTTACCATATTATTACAATTTTTATGATCAATGGATATTAGGTTCTGAAATTGCGATTAAGATTTCGTTATACTTCTGAGATTTTTTTCAAAGGCGTGAAATGCTTCCATTACTGTTGGTTACGAGCCCTGTACAGGTGTTTGGTTGTACAGGTGTTCAATGTTAATTGCTTTTACCATCCCGCAATGAAAGGTTCGCGCGGCGAAAGATCGTGAAACGATTCATAATTCAATTAGAGTTACTTGGTTATCTCTCATCAAGCAGATATAATCAGTATACTCATTTGTCGTCATACGTACCGCATGTTTAACTTGTACGTTATCGGGAACGTATAATGATTAAATTATAGGTTTATTAACTACAATAATACAATAATACTATTGTATAGGGAAATATATAATCATATAACACAGTATCGTATAATAATATAATTAATATAATTAATACGTGTTATATAAAATCTATGTATCTACTACATAAAACAAAATACAATTAATGAAAAGATCGGTTTTTCGTTATTTACGTTTTTTATAATATTTCCCGAAATGGTCAAAATTTACATAAAAAACCGATATGCTGACATGTCAAGGAAGCTTGACGAAATTCACGATCCAAGGAAATTTATTTTTTTATGTCATAAATACAGAATTTCCGCGTTTTTTCGTATTTTCTCGTTATTTCGTTTCATTGATTGTCTCTATCTTCAATAGTCTCAAAAGTGTATTCAGGTGTTCGGAGATATTCGGTGTCTCGTCATTACACAACGGTTTTAAATTTCAATAAACCGTACTGTGTAATTTCGCTGTAATAAAGCGCATGGAACACGATTGTAAATAATGATGCGTGACGTATTCCATAATTATCGATTTATCGCGACACAACGGAATTAATTGGCTCGTCATTGCTTACACATACATACATACATCTGTCTTATCTTAGATATTTAAAAAAGGACGGGGAATGGTATAATGATCAATATTTCAAAAATGTTCCTATAACAGAACACAGAAGCATCTGCATATCGTTTTAACGAGTATTGGAACGCATAGAGGATATTTAATTGCAACAAATATAAATGCTTGAAAAATTACGCGACTCAATGAAAATATTTGTTTTGTTATAATTTATATTGAACGTTCAGCATGAAGCTTAATGAGTTTAGTACACTCGGGAATTTATATCTTTAAACGATTATTGCGCATTTGCATTGTATATACAGACTATTCTAAACGATTTATTTGATAGCTGCTATATATTAATCGAGAGTCATCGTGCGAAAACAAAAATCGATGAAACAAAGACACGGGAACTAAATAATTAAATCGAATTCGACAAGAATAATTAAGTTCGATTCGGTTTCAAGTATATGCAAATAATTGTGCACTGGTACTCACCATCGATCAGGGAAGGTACATTCAATTGCTGATGATGATGCGCCGCCGGATGCTGCTGGTGGTGATGAGGCGGGTGTACCTGCAGCAGGTGCGATCTCGTCTGGGAGAAGGTCGGCGACGGCGGTTCCCAAGGTCGGGCGACACCGGTACTGGCGGGAACGTCCTCGTCCTGACAGCAGAACTTGTCGCTCGCGCTCGAGGCGGTGGTGCCGGTGCAATTCGCGACACCGTGTCCATCATTATTGTTGCCAATCTCCCCGTTGTTATTGTTGTTGTTATTGTTATTATTACCGCTACCGCTATTGTTCGTGAGGCGCGTGGTGGTCGCGCCCGTCGCAGGGCTACCACTACCACTAGCACTGCCACTGACACTACCACTGCCAATGCCGTCGACCTGCACCATTTCGCTGTCGATCGCAGCCGCCGACTTGGCAGTACCAGGAGGGGTCGCGACGCCGCCACCGATCATCATCACCAGACGATCTCACCTCCGCCCCCTCCACGCTCTCAGCAAACGGCTCCTCCCTCTCCCGTTCTTCCTCCACTTCTGCGGATGAACGTCAATCTTCAAGTCGCTTTTGTTTCGCATTCAGCGGATTTTTCGTGCGCGCCGATCTGCGCCGATCGCGAATTCTTAAAATGCTGACGAGCGTCTTCGGGTTAACGAATCATTTGACATTACTCTCATTCGGAATATATCCGCCTAAAAATATTCTCCTATGCGTCGAGCAATATTGTTGAACGAACATTTTTCGATTTACGTGCAAACGATATGCCATAGAAATTATTAATAGGGTTGCTTGCCAACTTCGTCATAGTCAAACTCGAATATTATTTTTCTGCCGTTAGATCTCTATCTATAAGCACATTAACACAGTCCGGTACAAAACGGATGCATTCCCATATTATTCGCCGAGTATCTGCAGTTCCCATTTGTTTTCAAGTACTTCAACTCGTCTTCATTAAACTGTCCACCGAACTGTCACGTGTATAGCACCAAATCATACTGTCAGTCACTATCCCTTGATAAACACAAACATGTTTCGCAACTTCGCCATGTGACGCGGAATGACAAACGAGTCGCTACGGAATCGATTTAACGGAGCGGAATAACTTTTCCGATGACCGCGCGATGACGATCACGACGCATCGCGACGCGAGCTTTTACGTCGTCGCGACACTTGAGAGCCTAGTCGAAGCCGAGGAACCGTAGGCGCGGAGTGTTGGAGCGCAGGCGCCTTCGACGAAGCTCGTGACCACGTTCTCCTCCTTCTCTTCCTCCTCCTCCTC